GAGGTTTGATGAATAGCAGAATCAGTACTGAATATGTCTCGATCGAGAGCAGACGGGACCATGAGCTCCTGATTGTTATATTTTAGAAATTTTACAAATTTCCATACAGTTTCTTATATTATTTGGACGCCATTATAGACGAAAGCGCGGCCGCCATCTTGTCCAATATTTCTGCCGATGAATGAAAGAGAATCCTAAAAGTGCGGGAGATACAAACGTAACAATCCAATGAAAGTGAATCCTAAAAGTTCGCGAGGTAGAAACGTAACAATCCAATGAGAGAAAATCCTAAAAGTGCGCGAGATACAAACGTAACAATCTGATTGAAGAAAATCCTTAAAGTGCGCGAGATTCTAACGTAACAAACAAATCCTAAGTACACGAGATACTAACGTAACAAAAAAATGAAAGGAAATCCTAAGTATACGAGATACTAACTTAACAATCGAATGAAAGAGAACCGCACGTGCGCGAGATAGAAACGTAATCGAACGAAAGAGAATTCTCAGAGTAGACGACATGCTAATGTAACAGTCCAATGAAAGAGAATCCTAAAAGCATGCGCCACATACTAAATCAGCAAACGAATAAAAGAGAATCTTAAAGGATTGCAAGATACTAAAGTGACAATCGAAATAAAAAGAGAATCCTAAAAAAGGGCGAGATGTTAAGAAAATAATCCAATAAAAGAGAATTTTTAACGTGTGCTAGGCACTAACGTAACAATCGGATGAAACAGAATCACATGAAAGAGAATCCTAAAAGTGTGCGAGGTACTAAATAATGTAACAGTCGAATGACAGAGAATCCTGAAAGTGCGCGAGATACTTGCGTAACAATCAAATGAAAGAGGACCCCAAGTACACGAGATAGAAACATAACAATCGAATGAAAGAGAATCCTAAATGCACGAAATAGAAACGTAACAATCGAATGAAAGAGAATTCTCAGATTAGACGACATACTAATGTAACAATCGAACAAGAAAATCCTAAAAGTGCGCGATATACTAACATAACAATCCAATTAATGAGGATCCTAAAAGTGCACGAGCTACTAACGTATAAATCTAAAGAAAAAGAATCCTAAAGGTGCACGAGATGCTAACGTAAAAATCCAATGACAGAGAATCTTACATTTTCGCGAGATAAAACGTAACAATCCATTCAAAGAAAATCGTAAACGTGAGCAAGGTACTAACGTAACAATCGAATGAAAGGGAATCTTAAACGTACGTAAGATACAAACGTAACTTTCTTTTGAGTTTTTGAGAGTTTGTAGAGAGGCAACTGTCTGCGGCAGTCTTACTTCGAGAGCACCCTGAGAAAAGAAATCAGGTCACATGGCAAGATCTCCGAAAATACATAATTAAAGCCACCGCTTTCTCCAAATACTGCAAAGATGAACGAGAGCTCCCTCGTGAAAGGTCCTAGAGTTGGATACAACAAGCGCGGGTGAATTTCTGTTTATACCAAAGGAAGGAGAAGCTGACAACATTGTTAGCAGAGAGTCATCTTACAAAAAGTTCATCCATGTGTGCATCACGAAGTCTCGCAACAAGGGCTTCATGGGAGGTACGGACCACACCTGGTTCTACTTGACGGTAGACACCTGGTTCTCTTTATGTTTCCTAAGCATCCATACCAATATCAGTTATGAAGTCGTGTCGGAAATGATATGTGAGAGTGAAGTTTTGAGTTTACAGCTGAGCTGAAGCTTTGAGTTTTATTAGGGTGATTACTCAGAAAAAAAAAAAAAAGTTATCGAACAATTTTTTTAAAATTTCCTTAAAGGTTCCCTACCAAAGTCTGTGGCGAAAAATACAATTAAGAAGATAGGTCACCGTGCTTGTTTAAAAGATGTGGTGGGCCAAACTTACCCTATTCATGCCTGTACTGGCGCTAATCACGCGCGTGCTTTCATCAGTTCAAGGTACATTTTTAGGTAGGTGGAAATGGATTTTTTAAATTTCTTCCGTTTAAAGGGGATTACTGGTACACAAGAAATATGCATAAAAATATTTATGTCATTGTGCTCCTTCAAGAGCATCGTACCTCTTTGCCTGGTCCATTTATTGAAAAACAATACCGAACAAGGTATTGTGCACGGCATGTGCGCGCTTATTCACCCGATTATCTGATTTTTATACGCAATACAGGATGTGCAGTGCAATACTGAGGAATCACCTCAAGGATTAGAACGATTGGTGGAAGTCGTCATTCTTTATAGTGGATTATTCAACGACAGATACGATATTGAGAAATAATTTATACCTTTGTATACATTTAAGATTTCCACAGAAGTCAGGCTTGGAAAAGATGGATCCGTACCGATAAAAGTGAACTTGATTCCAAACAACAAGGAGTCATTATTGCCGTTATACAACGCAAGGCTTACGTGCACGAAGCAAATGGTCATAAAACTTTGATGGTGGTGGTGCTTTTCGAAACGCGTCCCCTTTCAAGAACCACAAACGCGTGCCAAAGTATGTATAAATGTTTGGATGTCCTGTGTAGAACATTGGGCTGAAGCATTTCGTGACGCGTGAATTTTTCTCAAATTCGTGCGTGAAATAGGATCAGGATCCCTCCCTCCCTTGGTACCCTCGTACCAGCATAACCTGGACACCAACTTCAAGCTAAGCAGTCGAAACTGGAAATTTAACGACAACGGACCATCGTATTTTCGAAACCGCTCACCCTATTTTATCAAAAAAAATACATGAGCAGCAAGTTCCATACTGGTGAGTTTCTCAAAAGTGATATTGATTGTGTGGACATAGCGAAGGAAGGATGTGGGGTCAGAAGCGAGGGTGATGTGAAGATTGAGTACAAGTCCATCAATCTCTAATGCGCAGTACTCTCACAGAAAGAGGTATTCCAATATGCAGAAGTCCAGCAAAGAAGCGCTTGAAAGTATAAATCATGAATTACTACAAAGTATTCTATACGAAAATAACCTTCCGTCGAAAAAGAAAAAAAAAACCAAAGAGGGTAGCCTGTTGCAGGCGTTCAGTTCGTAAAACGGAACGAAATTGTAGACGGTGAGAAAGCAGCGGAGAAGTGAAAAAGTGAGGAAGGTTGGGTCGAGTCGGCTCGGGTGAAGAACATTACGCGACTCGACCCAAACTTCTCTCGTTTTTTCACTCCTTTGCTACTATCACGCCGTTTACTATCGCGCTTCGTTTTAATAACTAAACGCCTGGAACAGGCCGGAATCAAGGCTAATAAAAAACATATGATAGACGTTATCTCCAGCTCCTTTGCCATCAGCGGGTCAGTTAGGAATCTAAGTTGACACTGATTCACGATTATTCTGTACTCACTGCAGCTTACTCGCGCTCTCTCTCTCTTCGGATATTGCTTTCTTTATTGAAGAGTGTATTTTATCTTACGGGTTTTATAGCTTAGTGACAAGGAAGAAGGACCCAGCGAAATGATTTCACAGGCCAGTTTAGCTCAAAAAGACCAAAAACAGGACCACAACTACTGTAGACAGGCGCATTATCCATCCGTACAGGTAGAAATGTAATGAAAACCTAAAACGTTTAATTTCGCGGGTCTAATTTGTAAAAAAATCGAAAATTTGAGATTCCTGGCGAATTTAAATCCCTATATCAAATTCAAATCACAGCAAAAAATGATCAACATGTAATAAAAACATCACATACAGGATATGATTGACAAACACACAAATTATTAACTGGTCTCACTGGTAAGTTCTATTTTAAATCTTTTGTTGTCAAATGACGTAAATTTTCGAAGATTTCGCACATGGAGACGTGAATCTAGCTATCACCTTCATCTGATGCGCACCAATTCTTTAGAATAACTTTCTCTCTCTCTCTCTCTCTCTCTCTCTATTTGCCTATTGCGATCGCGAAAATAAAACCCTCGGGATATACCGTCTCGCCATTTTCCCGAAAGTGGGTATCAAAAGGTACGCACATTGCTTGTGTGGTGGACATGCGTCTGGTTAGTTGAGAGAGTGGCGGGAATTTCTAGACCAATAGCAGACTGATGTAATCACAAAACTATAGTGGTACAATGTTGTATTACTTTCAACACTCAGTTGATCTAAAATGTCGGCATTGATTATAAAGCTACGTTCTGAATTCTCGGTATGTGACATCATCTTGACCTATCTTGTTCCCATTTGTCATAGACTTTGCTCAATTGACCTCGAACAAGTGCCAATAACCTTGTTACTCACCTCAAAGAATCCAACCAAAGGCCAAGACCTTAACCCTTAACTTAATTTTACTCTCTACATAATACGTAGTTTCCTTTTTAGCAGTAATTTTAGGATGTCTCCAACGCTCCGTGACATCCTGAGAATGGATGTGAAGCATACTGCATCAAACGGAATTCCTCAATTCGCGTGCTTTGCTATAGCGGTCAAAAGATAACTGTAGAAAAGCTGCATACCAACTTCAGGTGCATTCCTCTCCCCTTGTTTGTAGTGTTCGCGCAAGTTCAAGTCATCGTTAAGAATGCCCCTTGTTAAAATTGTCAAACTGTGTGATCTTGGTTTGAACATCCTACCCAGACTAGAACAGAAAGCGCCGCCATGGGTCCGTCTGGGGCCGGCAGATTACGTCGGCGACCCACTCAGCCAAAGTAAATCGGCTTGATTTAGTGTGTTTTTCTTTTTGTTTATTTTCTGTTCGCGTTGGCAATTTTTGTATTGTACGTACAACCGAATAAGTTCATTTTCTACAAATGTGCAAATGTCATGAACTGCATGCGTGGTGGTGGAGGGTCACCTGTTACGATCGCGAAATGACTCATAACGGTGCGCGCGGGTACAGAATGAGTCACGAACATTAAACACGACAATCATTTCCCTAATCGCCTTGAGAGACTTTTGTTTTGGTTGAAAATCGATATGACTTGTACTAGGGCCATAAAAATCCCAGGTCATTGGGTCAAGCGTCATTTGGGTGTCAATTACGTAATATATTTCCTCTGAGAACCCACGATGATCTTTAAATAGCAAGCTTGTGACTAGCGCCACACACATCTTTGTTGTTTATTAAAACCAATTGCACTGAGCAAGATGAAAACTGAAAATGACCCTTGGAAATGTCTTTCATCTTGAACTTGCATGAGTTTAATGGTTTATTGCCTCGGAAATGGCTTGGAGCTGTTTAAGAATGCAGCCCGCCGTACTAGAGCGATAAATACACTCGTGGTCAGATAAGCGGATCCAAGCGCGCCTGTGATAACATATTCAGAAACGACGAAATCCAAGACATGAGTCGCGTATTCTTACTAACCCAATACACGCCCCACGCAACAGAAATGTCATCCGCTTGCAACGAAGAAGATTCCTCATCCACGCTGGCCGAGAACAACGACAGTGAATACTATGAAGTAGAAGTATTTAAATCGCAGGTTGTAACCGTGGCCTCGTGTGGTTTAAAAGAAGACTTGGGAACTGTAGAGAATATACGATATAAAAGCTGTGGTGATCCGACTGTTGTTGTGGAAGCTAACAATGGCGCGACAAGTTCACCCTTACCTGAGGAAACTAATGGCAAAAAAACTGTTGCTATTACCAGCAGTACAGAACATAAAACGAGGCGATTTAAACGGATTTCTCTTCCTCAGTGGCTTCTCAAGCCCAGCAGAAAATCTTCGCATAACTCATCTCGAATACGAAGAATAACAGGCCCGAGTGGAAAACACAGAATTTTACGGATTAACTCGGCACCCAAAACTCTCGGTCCAAGCGGAAACGGTTTTGCCCATTATGGCGACGATGATAAATTCCACATTTTTCACAAGGGCTCATCGAAAGACAGAGGACATCAACACAGCTTATCGGAATTAAAACCCGTCAAAGAAACGCGAAAAATTAGAAGGATTTCACTGCCTGCTCATGTGTTGGAAGTGGGATCACCAGCTGTAGAAACTTCCACGCCTCGCACCCCAGAGCCAACTAGACGGAATATATTCGATGAATTAGACGAAAAATTTATTCATTCTTTGCGAATGGACGATCCACGAGTCGCAATTAAAACAAGTTCAAAACCAGGGGCCGCTGGCGAGGAAAAGGTTGATAGTCCATCCCATGAAAACAACAAAGTGGCCTCTGTAGATCACGAAGGGAAATTGCCATCGCCTCGTGGAACGCGCGAGGGATCCGCTCAATTTAAAAATGTGCGGAAAGAGAGTTCCGGATCAGTAATTTTTAAACCATCGCGCCCGGTACTTAAATTGCACAAGTTTCACAACCCGGACATATTTTACGTTCCTTTGCCAGAGGATGATTCGCAGAACTTGGACGCTTTGCCACAAAAATTGTGCCGCGCGCGGCTGATCAAGCCGAAGAACGAAAACTACATGATACAAGAATGTGTTCGGGAGGAATTACAAGCGTTTCTACACGACAAGCAGTTTTGTAGTCGATCTTGCCAACAATGGTGTCTGGAACTGAGCCAAAACATTAAAACCTGCGTTCACAAAATGAAGGATTGCGAAAGTAAGATCGCTTGTGTGGTTTACATTGGCGCGCTTCGTGAACACGGTATCCACGCGGCCACTCAGTGTATATGGGTACCGAATGAAGACAATTTTATAACAGTGAAATTCAAAAATAGTTCAATGATGGCTATAGCATCGGTTCTAGCGATCAAATATGAATAAATTCCTCTTTCAGCGATACCCAGTCGTTGACAAGACTGTCCGGCGCTTATTACTTAGCGTTAAGCTTCAAACAAGCGAAGTGCTAAATAAAGAAATCTGTTATTCCTATCATATGGTATTCGTGGAGTCCATTCAAATCAAATGATCGTTACCACAAACTCAGAAAGCCTTAATTAGAGTGCTAACGAGCTATTTAGAGTGCAGTTAAGTTGAAATGTTGCAACATTTACAGATCACAAGATGTTATCCTGACACGGGTTTCTTTTACAAATGTTTCAAGTGGTATTAGTTACCATAATTGTTTGACACGGATCGATTTCAAGACCTTTACCATTTCAGCAGACGACATTCTCAAAATACTTTCTAACCTGTGTCGAGATAAAATCAGTTTTCCGGAGCTGAAAAAGGTATGTTTCTCGGGCGTGATTAGAGAAGTATTTTCCACTGATAAGAGACCAATGACCTTAACATTTTTTAGCATAGATTCTCAATGAAAGTATCATATAAACTTTTGTTCCAAGGCCCTTGCAAATTGAAAATACGCAACCAGATTCGTTAACGCTGAATAATCCCACTCCGTGTTCCCCCTATCGCTTAACTGACTGGGCTGGCTATGAGCACGTAATCATCCAATAAAATTACGAGAAACTGAATTTCGGCTTGGTTAAATGCTTCAGAAAAAATGAATACATCAATAAATAAATGAATGAATAAACAAAACATGGATAATCACCGCCTTTGTTTTTGTTATCTTTCAAATGAGGTATAACCCTTGTGCATCTCAATTACTCTTCCAATAATTTGGGCCGGTTATTTAAACAAAGTTTAGTCGTCGTGTAACAAAACCGCGTTCTAAGCCATCTTCAATTTAGCCGAACCTTTTATCTAAGAATCAAATTTTTTTGAACAGTGTCAACAGGCCGAAACCTTAAAGTAGACGGACATCTGTTTAAATGAAATCAACCCTCTTATGGAGAATCACCAAGGCCCACTTCTTGCGTATAACCGCGGTTTGGGTTCGATCTCGTTTAAATAAGCGGCCCTTTAAGTTTCGGAACGTTATCATTTTCTGATAAGGTTACTCTACAGCGCGTGGGAAGCTGGGTTGAAGAGAACTTCCCTGTTGCTGATGTTAAGGAGTGGGGCTGAACAGGAGTAGTTTTCCACTATGGTATGTTTTCTTCGACACGACTCAATTAGAGCAGTTAGCGAAATAAAGGCAAATGGTAACTACTTAGAGAGAATAATTTTAGGGACGTTAGGCAGTCAGGAAGGCAACACTAGGGAAGAGGTGGAAAAATTGAATGTTCATTTTAGGGAGAATTTTACGCATGGCTGGATGTGTTCACGGTCTCTTAAGGCTCCTCTCCTAGACTTCGGCATGCGCATAACGTGTGGGAGCAGGTATGAGTTCTTAATGGGAATTTAACATCATTTTTTGGCTATTGTTCTGCCTATTAGATCTTAAGGCAAAGAAAGATATTAAGAATAAAAACCCTCATTCGAATTCCAAAGTACCTCCATATTGTTGGGTTATACCCTATACAACTATGTTAAAGAATCTCCTAAATTAATTATTCACAATAAAGATGAATAAACATCAGAATCATTCTAGATCGCTTATCATAACGAAAGATATGAACATAACCGTACAGTACCATTCTGAATTTGCTCGGTGTCCCTGCTGTAATTATAAGACCTGATATCAAACAATTATAGTCATATCACGATTTATGATTTTCTCAATGATATCTTTCGGCGGTATCAAAATGGCAGGCCTTTTGCATATTTTCAAACTTCGATTAAACATATTGCAAAAATTATGAATCGCTATCTACGCGTTTTCAAGAGGCTTGGATGTCACGTTTTTGCACTAGAGTTGCTTTTTGTCTATAAAATACGTGTGTCTATATAGCTCAATATATAAAACAAATTCTACTTTGAATCCCCTTTAATAAGAAAATATTAAACACTTGGAAAAATTTGCGTTTCCCCAGTGTACAACTAATGACCCGCCTTGTGCACTCGGTGTATGATTTGTATCATGAGGCGCTTTTCGATTGAGAGTCGTAAAAACAAAACCAACGTAGTCACAACAGCCAATCAGAATTAAGGAAATGAACCAAAGAGGATCATGACTGCCAAACTGCCTAAAGCGCAGGAAAACGTGAGCGACCGAGTCTTGACTTGTTTTAGGGTTGCATTTGATTGGTCGAGAGGGTGGTGCGAGGTTTTTTTGACAAATCACAGGGCGAAATAAGGCAAACAAAAACAATCCGAGATTACTTTCTACACTCAGTTGAAAATTTGTTCTATCATCAAATGAGTGTTCATGGTAATCCGGGATTGCATTGGCATAAATTCACTTCACTCTGTGATTGGTCAATAAAACTCCTTCAAACCAAACCGTCCTTCAAACAAATTAATGCAACCAGACTTTCCCCCTCTTTCCATGGTTTTAATTTTAGTTCTTAGTGGCCACTCGAAATATTTTTCATTGTAAAAATTGACAACAAATTTTACAACTCTCAATCAAACTGTGCTCTTTTTATTTGTCTCAAACTTGAGTTCCTTTGACCATTGCTTTCATTCCACGTGCACAGCGCATAATATTATAACAGTCTTTACCCCACATATATTTTGCAGACGGAGCTAAAGATTTGAATTTGAAGAAAATCTTTTCAATATGGAGCGTTTCTTGAGCGTAGTCGGGGCTACAGGTGCATCTGGAGTGTCTGAGTATGACATCATTACTTGAAGACGACCAACGGGCACTCCGTCTATGAGAAATAGAACTTCGAGTTAACAACACTTTCAGCGTACCGTGAGATGTCTGCACAATACATAACAAGAAACATCTGTTTGTAGTCATTTCCGTAGTGAAGGGTTCTCAGTTTGAGTTTTTCGGAAATTGCTGATTTTTAAGGAAGAATTTCTAAACACCGTTCACAAGCTAAAAAAAACCTAACATGTTATTGGGTTATTCGTAATTTAGTTTTTTTTTTTAAATCCTACACAGGACGAAAGGTTGTTAAACTGAGAAATGTCCGTCCATCAACATGGTGGTTAAATAACGATTCTCAGCATGCTACGGCGATTGACAATAATCTTTCTCCACTTCTTGTGACAATAAAGCATCCGTCGATAATGGCATTCAGAATCACTCTTCACATTCTTTCCTTTACTTTCCGAGGAAAACAGAGAACAAGAATGAAAAAGAGATCGAATTCAACTGATATTTGAGCCGCTACGAGATACCATGTCTGCAAATTTATCATTTTCGAGACAGCTTAACTCTAATAAATCCCTTAGTATTGAAGTGAGAACTTAGATATAGAATTACTGAAAGCTGCACGGAAACTTTAGACCAGTATTTAGACACATAAAGCTTATCAGTGTTATTTGTGTATCAGTTAAAAAAAAACTGCTATGACTATCTGTACATCATAAATCCTAAGAGTCTTGTAGAGGGTCAAAACAGATGACTATCTTCACTCTTGTAATAATTACGATCGAAATTTTTCACAACAGGTTGGAGACTGAAGGTTCTCGGTTCCCTTTGGTATGCCATCGATGCCCCACACAAAGTTGAATCACATCCGCTCAAGCGCTTAAAAAACAACCAGGCCAAACAAGTTAAGCCAATTACTCCAGTTATCTGCTTATTAGTAATACGCTTATCTTAATTTCCTTTCAATGATGACTTTATCCGGCGTGCGCCCCACGCGACGCGCGTGGCAATAACATACACACGCGCGAACATCCAGGCCAGTAATTCCAAACAGACATTTGAGGTGAAGACATGTCGCCGGGTATTTATGGACGATATTGTCTTTAACGAAAAGAACGCAATAACCATGGAGCTCGAGAGACGAGAGGGGGTGGGGAAGGAAGGGGGGGGGGGGTGGAAATGGAAACTGTTATGGTATTTGCTAAAAGCCGCTTTAGTACCCTATACCAATGTTCGACCCAAAACATTCGCAGATAGATTATTACTTCGGAGCATCTGCGGGAAATTTTCAAATAGCGGAAAGCCTTTCATGCAGGTTGTATGCAGTTTCGCCTTCCCTCCCCCCTCCTTTCTTTGGTTAATGTACGTTTGCAGTTTCGCTTGATTAACTTTACATTTTTAGTGGTGACCCACAAGAAGTTACGTATTTAAGTAGGTAATGAAAACATGGTTCTGTTTTATCGACGACCGGTTAATTAGGGTTCCGAACTACAAAAATTCAACGTACCGTTTTCAAGATTGAGCCATTTGGTTTCTGAATATTTTCCTGGAAAGTAATTAGAAGCTATAAGTCAGGACTCTGCACAGTTATATGACAAGTCATTAAAATGATAAAAAAATTTCATGATTGCGTTTTCCGACCACTATAGAATTAATCTTCGCATTCTCAGCATGAGCCAAAACGATAACAAATTACAAATGGCGTTAAAAGACGAGTCAGTCTTGAGTTTTCAACGGTCATTTTGAAGGAATGATAAGGTTGCTGGAGATCTTACAGAGAGGAATGAGTCACGGTATTAGACTTGCGGCCTACATCGAGACACCAGTTTTTATTGAAAATCTTTTTAAAGTATTTTTTTCTTTTTGAGGTCAAGCATGCGAAAACAGAACTCAAGCCGGAGGTAACATTTTATGAGTTTGTCTGTTCCGGGTTCTCGATTGTCTAAGACGAATAAACACCCCGGGGAGCAAGAGATGAAAATGACGGCCTCCAGCTTTTTTTTCGCTTAAGCCAGTGCTCCGTTGGCAGAAGCGGTATTGGAAAACGCAGATTTTATAAATTCTTTCATTTCATTTGTGGTCGCTGAAACGCTTGTTCGTAATTGAGTTTTTGGAATGTTCACTGATCAATCACCTTCCTCTAAATTAAAAGAAATTAGTTTGAAATGTTGTTTAGAAACGATAGTCTTTCCGATAATTGCAGGCTACTCCAACAATTGATAACAATTGCCAATTGTGACTAAAAATACAAATGTACTATCTAACCCATCTCATAAATGGACCTGAAACGGGCATGGAAAGAAGGTGCTGAGGCGTCGATGGGTTGAAGAAGAAAGATACTGGCGGTGGTACCGCACTTTATTAGAGTGGCGTATATATCATCACCTTCAGATCCGCTGCCAGTGTTTGATCTTTCCCTCTTGACAAATACGTCTGGTGAAAGAGAACAATCATAAATGCAGCCGCACTTAATTAAAGCTTATTTCCTTCTAGTGAGGAGAAAATTACAGATAAGTTTCTTCTGGTTAGGTGTATGAAACATTGCCATATTGCTCTTGATTTTTTGAAAGTCTTCCGGCCACCAGAAGAAGCTAACATACTCCACAGCGAGAGAAGATAATGGTCCCATTATTTTTCTCTTGTCTATACACAGGCAGACCACATATGTGTCTGTGGTTGATAATTGCTGACATGATACAAACAGAATCTCTGAGGGATATGAATAAAGCTCGGGGCCCAGTTGTTCAAAGGCCGATTAGCACTAACCCGGGGTTAAATTTTTAATTCATGTTTTTTTATTTCTTTACTCAAGAGCCTTTTATGCGATCATTTTCCTTGTTCTTTTTAGACCATCTAATCATCAAATTGTGGACAAAAAGAAAGAAAATGAATCAAATTTCACACTAACCCTGGGTTAACTTAACCCAGCTTTGAACAACCAGGCCCTGAAAATTGCATATCTGAATCACATCGCGGTCTGATTATCTTAAAAAAGTAAAATGAAATCTTCATCGAGTGGTATTTTTTTGCCTTCTTAGGCCTTTTAAAGCGTCTTTTCATGAAATTACTTTCAACAGATTGCCGTTAAGAGAAGAAAGGGAAACTATTTAGACTACATAATCATAGACCAGATAATTAATTACTTTTTAAAAAAGCATCTGGTTCAGTATCCCTGGATATTCATGGTGTATGCTGTCTTAAGCTCCCTTTAATTGAAAATACTCATACACGTAGTTCTTTAATCCTTTACACCCTAACATCAGTATACATTTTCTCCATACTGCTCTCTATACATTTCCTATGGTACTGACAAAGAGAGTTTGTTTAACAATCGAGAGCGTCTTTATTTGGTGATCATTTCCTTTATTCTCATGACCTCAATGTTTATTTTAGGGGTGATACTGATAGGGAAAATAGTTAGTAATCACTCTTAGGGGTTAAAGGGCTAAACCTCTGTACATCAACAGATAACCGAATAACATATTGAGCATATTTTACAAACCAACAATTCAAGAAAACAAACAAATCATAAAAAGTAGAAGCTTGCCAACACAACGCAAAGCAAAAAAAGATTATTGGATCGAACATGTGATTACCTTTGAAGAAGTCCTGCATCGAGATCCTAGCTTTTCCCTCCACTTTTTTCTTGGCGTCTCTCAGTTCAAAAACCAATCCTGCTTCATTTGATATGGCTGTTCCTCCCGCTGTCTACATTAGAAAAATGTTATATAAGGGAACTACCTTGATATGAAGCAAATCCAGACTGATCTGTCCAAATTTTCCCAAGTGGATTGTTTAATCCGACAAGAAATTTTTCCGTTCCTTCCCTGATATGAATAAAAAACGTAGGACATGACGTGTTTCATTCTGTACGAAACTTCTTCTCCCGTCCGTGCGCTCCTAGGAAAAAATTCGACTGAAACTTTGAGCAGTTTAAAGGAGTCTTAAAAGTAAGGCGCATTAGTTGGCAAGGCACAATCTAGCTAATCAATACAGAAGGGAAATATTTTCTCTCAACAATAGCACTTTTGAAACGAGTGATTGCGGATAAGCCTTCTCAATCCTTTCTATTCTTTGAGTTTTTCCCCCAAATTTTGCGAGGCACCGCTAATTCCTTGTATTTCCCTTTGAAATTTTGCGCAAGTAATTGCTACCCGCCGACCAAAAGGAGCCATTTGCCCGAGCGCAAGGTTTGGCCGATGTGCCTCGATGTGTTGAGGGTTCCTCGAATTAAGAGACAATCTTAAGTTAGTCTTACTTGGAAGATATAATTCCATTTTGCCATTCCACTCTCAGGAGCAAGTTGGGGAGTGGTGCACATTGAAATGTATTCATACTTGACACTGCTTTTACGGCCATGACGAGGACTTGGAGAAGATAAAAAAATGCAATTTGTTTTAAAATAAGTTATGGGCTAGGTTGGCGTTGAACTGAAATCTGGGATGCAGATCTTGGATGTGTTTAAGGAGAGAAAGAACTTCCTGACGAAGCTGGAATTCATCTTGACTGCGCAGTTTTAATGAAGAGCGCTCATGGCTTACCACAGCTTACCTGCCCTTTACAACCAAGAATGGTAAGACTTTCCACTCAAGCTTGAAAGAAAAATTCTTCCAAATGATTTCTATACAATTTCTTTGATGCTAGTGTTGGGAATCCCAGAATTCATGTTGTTTGATCCCTCAGCGTGTATCAACCGGGCAATGTTTCCCTTTCTGAATCACTACTCCAGCTGAGTACAGTCTATTTGTCGATTAATGTTTCGCCATTACACATCATAACACACTGGTGTCGCATACTCACATCTCAACCCGTGCTCTAATCTGGAATGTACCCCAACCTAGCAAAGGCACGCAAAATGTAAAAAAAGTTGCAAACGGAGTCGCTCTCCCGTGGAAATGCAACAATTCTCTTGCTTACCACTAAAACTTTCTTTAACACTTGTTATCCACTCCAAAGAGGTAGGAGTTTTTGAACAAAATGTAATTTCTGTGGAATCTTTTCTTTTTTATTGTTTGAAAGGTGCTAAAATAGCCTTGAAAGTGGCCCTAGAGACAGTGTCAAAATAAACCGGGATTGCGGATTGCTTTAATTGTTTGCTTTACTAGGCTATCTGAATGTTCTATAAATCTCGTGATACTTTTTCAATCATTCAGGATTAAAACTGAAACTTATCGTATCATGATCGCTTTTGGTCTCCTTCGGTCAAGGCCAGTTCATTACGCTATACTCATTACCTGTTATTTCTGAAGCTTGAATGATTTCTCCTGACACGCTATAAAACAAAGGTGGAATCCGACTTTCTACGTACTCTGCAAGAAATAACACATAAAATGAATAAAATGAAACAGTGTGAATTTTTTGGCTGGTTTGATATTTTACCATGTACCTGGGTAATAGAGAAGTTGCTACTGAGTCAAGTCATAGCCTGAATTCGTGTTTGTCTAACGTTGAACATACTGCTTGAAAGAGCAATGTCGAAAACATCCCATGTTTCAGGAAACAAATCTTTTTTTCCATTTATCAAATATTATCTAAAGGCAACAAAAGTCAGAATCAACCCAGTACCGTCCATCTTGTTCAGTGTAAGATCGAATACGTCTTTCGGTGCCTCAGGCTGTTCCCCAGCATCACTGATGCCCGAGTCATTTCCGCTTTCTCCCGGTTGTGACGGCATTTCCCCCGCTTTCTCAGCCTCTTCCTAATTAGATCAAACACGTTCGTTGTGAATAAAAAAAAAAAAAAAAGGTAAAGAAAGCGTAAACTCTTCACATTTCTAGCAACAATTTGTTTTTAAAGAAGTATAAAAATTACCTGCTCGCCCGGCCTAGAAATTTTGAATTGAAGTTGAATTTCTCCTGAGTCAGCCTCTTGAAGCTTAAACCACTGAGGTTCTCTTTTCTATCAAATGATGAGAATTATAAATTACAAATATCATGGAACAGAGAAATGCTAGAAAAGAGAACAGCTGATTGGGTGAGAAAATATATAGCGAGAATTTTGAGACCAATCAAGCAAATAAGCCAAGGAAGTCTACTTTTTCGTTTCGGTTTAAATTGAATCAATTCCTGATTTTTTTCTCTTTTTTAAAAGTATTTAGGAAAAAGGATGAATTGAAGAAAGAGATGAACCTTAGCAGCTTCTTTTACGTCATCGACGGTCAATGGAACTGATCCCATGAAGTCATTCTGAAAAACATCTTTGTCAAAGACATCCTGAAAAAAAATTCGAGGAGAAAGCTCTTGGAATCTCTCTATATCTTCACAATGTATAGCGAAACCCCCCAATGCCCTCTTTCCCTTGCTTGTTGCAATCTAATCCTACTGTTGCCTGTCTTCTTTCCTATCAGTTGCAACTTTCCAAGCACCTTAAACAGAACCCTATGTCTAAACATTCCATCTTCCTTTGATAACAGAGACCTTGCAGAGGTCATATTGAAGAAACTTTGTAACCATGGTCAATGTAAAGAGATGAACTTACGAAAGAAATCTTATCTCCTTCTTGTGGCATGGCTATGGAGACGGATTCGTTCCACACCGGGGACAGAGTTTCATACGCCACGTTGGTTTTGAACTTCTTCGCATTGTTAACGCGCACCACACAGAATGGATCACTAAGGCCATTACTGTCCATGGCAACCATTTCTTTACCTTGGAGAAGTGTTATCACTAGAACACCAAGCTCTGAGAAACAGAAAGGAGAAAAATCTGTTTTAAAACTGCCAGGATTATGTAAATTCCTTTTTTTGTGCTTTTCGTGTTTTGGGTTAGTTTAGTTGCAGCGTTCTGGTAGCTTTTTGTCAATTAGTTTAATATTGAGTGCTTATTTTGTTTCATATGTTAGATTTTATTTTGCATATTTTAGCATTTTTTACTTCGTTAGCAGCTTCTTTCAGTGACAATCGTCTTTTACTACTTCACTTCGTTTCGCTCAGTTATGTATCGATTCGTTCGCTTCTGATGGTTAAAATAAATTAGATATGTGGCCACAGTCCCCATCAATATAGGCTAGGTTTGGGATATCATACGTGTGCAGCATGGTTATTGAGGTGTGTTCATGGTGGCGACTAAGGAATTGTCTTTCTCTAGGGAATGCTTCTCCTTTAAATTCAATAATCTTTTTAAGCTACCTTTGATCAACATCATTTCCTCAACTTGTCTTTTGATCTTCATACTGCTCTTCATGGTGTGTTTTTTGGCGTGTTCCTGTGAAAAAAAGAAGTATTGATAACATGCATATCTACATTTAAAGCAAACGAGAACTGTTAAATTCACCTCTGACACATGGTCTCTAAGATTTCTAACTATTTATCTAAAAAATATAAATATCCTTTTACAAAGATTGTCTAAGAAGAAAGTCAGGGCTGCATGTCATTATTTTATGACTATCTCGTGAACTTAAAAGCCGCCAAACTTACATTTATATCATCGATATCTTCACCCTCCACTAAGCCACCAGCTACAGGTTCTTTCTCTGGAGAACACGAAAAATAAAGTTAATGAAATTTGATGAAGTAGTTTTGAAGATGGAGCTTCTGTGGTCAGGATTTGTCTATGCCACTGAGGTGTTTTTTGTCGTTGTTGTTGTTGTTTATCACAAAAATAAAAGGAAAGTGTAATTGTGAAGCCCACATCTGAAATTCTTGGATTCACCTCAGTCTTTTGGGACCTTACAATCTCTTTTGATATTACGGGAAAGAAAAGGTAACGCCACATGATAGAAGTCACCAGGGTTAACCGAGCAAAAGTTTATTACGAGCTAACTTCACACTCTTGTAGTACAAATTGTGTAATCATCACAAATGCAAGTGTAAATTTTAAGGAATGAACTCCAAACAAATTTAGTTGAAATATCGAAAGAGCAGTCAAACTATATAACTCGTTTACCTGATTTGGTGACCGACTCGATGGGTTGAAACACCGCTGAAACTGTAAGTGAGCCTGCCTTCATGATAGAGTCATCTGATCTCTTCTTTCCAAACACTTTATACTTTAACTCTAACTTTCGTTTGATGATTGCAGGCTCATCCTGCAACGTAAAAGGAGCATTTCCAGTGTTAGTTTATATGACTTTTAGTTAGCTCACCGGTTTAATTAGCCATTCATTTAAAAGTCAATTGGTGCATAATGAAGTATTCTTTTTTCTCCCCGTGGTCTAGTTCAAGGAGTAATTTTTTTTTATTTACACTTTGTTAGAAAGACTCCTTAAACCAAGCACAGGCAAAATATAACATACCAAAGTCATTTGCAGGTTACAGGATCCCATAAAGTCATCGGATTGACCCTGCCAGTTTACGTCACGGTCATACACCAGAAAGGAAACATTGGTCTGGGGAAAAATAAAACACGGTTTATGTTTATAGCTGAACTTGTTTCACTTGATTCCCACTTGATTCTCACTTGTTTCTTTTTCGTTGCTTTAGAGTAGTCGGTAGCCCATTGTTACAGAGCAGAAAGTAGGATCGAGGTGACTGGAAACGAGCCTGACCGTGTGATGTGATTTAGGACACTCCCTCTCCCAGCGTCTCTCTCTGCTCAGGAGTATTGTGGGCACCAGCAAGCTGTTAAGGTGCTGTCAACGAACAACCCGGGCTCGATGCCATTGCATCCCATAGAGGTGGAATGAAAATACCTTTTGTAACCTTAATTATTCACTGTTAGATATCTAATGGCATTCTTCTCACCTTTGTAAAGTCTTTGACGGGGAACTCCACCACAGATTCCCACACAGGATTGACAGATCCCGAGACGTGAGGAGTGGTTCTTATCTAGAAAAATACAATGATATGTACTGTCATCATAAAGCGTTTTTAAAACAGATAATCAGTGCACTCTGTGCTCGTAATGTAACGCACCTTTTCTCTATCAGCTGCTATAATGCAATAGGGATCACTAAACCCGTCATCATCCATTGACAATAGCTTCTCACCACCATGAACGACCACGAGAAGAAGACCGGACACTGGAACATGCAAACAAGCAAATTAAACTGTCGGTAAAATTATGTAAAGATTAACAATCCAAGGAAGCAAACCCACTGGACGTTTCATTGGGATGTGTGATACTGCTATACTGCAAGAGGTTAGATGAAGGCTCTTTTTGCAGAAAAAATTTCAGCCCGCATTTCTCCTTTCCAGCGAAGTCTAGAATACTCAAGTAATGATCGCCAGCAGCATGGTACGACGCATAAGAGTGTAAAGCTGATAAGGACTGATGTCAGTGACTATAACTACCAACACAACAGATTCGATGCCGACACCAGGAATGGCATTTGAACACGCATTTAATCTTTATTAAGTTGCGTTAGAGTGATACCTCAGCGTAACGTGTGGTTAAAACTGAAAGAAATATACATATGAACCAACGTTACGGTAGAGAAAAACCCAAGCCGAAAGCGACACAAAACCTAAATAGACAATCGCCAAAAAATGACACTTACATTTGACATGGCCCTGGAAATGGCTACATAAACTTTACTGTATACTGCTGTTGTGTTTGCAAGTAAACTAAAACGAATTGGTCCTGCCAAAACTACGAAACTTAAACTGCTGAAGCCACGAAAGCATTTTGAATAAATTGCACGTGTATAAGCGCATTCCACAAGCCAGGAAACAAAGGCTAACTAAATGTATAGGCGTTAACGATCTTACACCGGCCCCGAAGTGTTGAGCCACGGGCGAAACACTCATAATACAATACAAGATCTAAGGACTGTATACAATTGAAAATACTGTCTTGATGACAAAAAAAGGGAAGAAGAAATAAGACGTAACAACGCGAACCGTTTCAGCTATGTGTTCATTCAAAAGCAGCGTCTCCTTAAGATAGTTAAAGTCTGTAATCTGGTGATGGCACGTTAAACTTGAACTAGGTCGCCTTAATGTTCCGTGCTTCTAGATTTGTCGCCTTTAACAAGAAGACAAAACTTGCCAATCGGTCTCTCAAGAACGGCTGACTTGACGTTTACTATTGCGCGACGAGCGAATCATTTCTTGTCAAGAAGAATGTCAATAACTCTTTCACGGGGCCACGAGTTGCAGTGCGAATTCTCCATAGAAACCAAGACGACGTCTCCAATGGCTAAGTTTCTTCTCGGTGGAAAGCCCCTCTGCTTGCTTAGAAGCAAAAGGAGATACTCCTTGGACCACCGTTTCCAGAAGATATCTGCAGGGCACTCTCCATCGGCGACGTGACAGTAAGTCGTCTTTTCGAAATAACCCGTGGGCATTGTAGGCACAGAGCGTAACAGCAACAAATGATTAGGCGTCAAGAGCTCCGGATCTCGCGGGTCGCTTGAAACTATTGTGATTGGACGGCCGTTCATAATGCTCTCTACCTCGTACATTAAGGTAACCACGCCTTCATCATCTACTCTTTGAGAATTGCGTGAAGCACCTTTCGAGTTAGGCGAATGCAACGTTCCCAAACGCCGCCGTAATGGGAACCGAAAGGCAGATTAAAGGATCACTTGATATTTCTTTGCATCAAATCTTCATGAATTTTCGCCTGATTCCAAGCATTGGTGGATTGGCGGAGCTCTTTCTCGTCGCTTGCAAAGTTGGTACCGTTATCTGAACAGATATCCTTAACCTGGCCCCTCCTTGCTATGAATCTTCTCAACGCCAACAGGAAGAAATCGGTGTCCAAACTGAACGCGACTTTGATGTGCATCACGCGAATAACCAGGCAAGTAAAGATAACTCCATATATCTTACGAGACTTCGACCAAGCCGCACTAGAAAAGGACCAAAGTAATCGATACCAACTGCTGTGAGACTGAGACAGGACTCTTCTCACTTTCGCGTAGATGACTTAGCTCGAACTGTCGACCAGAATGACCGGTGATCGCGTGATTATCAGCTTAGGTACATGATCGGTTTTTCGCGGGATGATCTGATCCTTAGCATTAAATGGTACTGGCGCCAAGCTCAATCTCCCGCCCACACGCAACAGGCCATCGACCAGAATTGGGTCCAGACTTCGAAGCACAGCTACCTTTCTCGACACGCACCACGCTGACCGACTTGGTTATTGAGTTGAACTCCTCAGAAAATGATGCAACTAAACACACTTCAAGATTTCTAACTCTGCGGTCTCCATTTCTTTAACGGTACTACACTGTAAGTGGATTGCTGGGACTGTCTTTGCTGATTTTTTACCTTTGCTGGCCATTCGAAAATTCTCATAATACCGTAGGAGTCAAGCAACTGATTTCTTAAGACAATATCAGGAAGACGTACGTTTAAAGTACTCTATTAGTGGCCGAGGGGGCTCAGTCACCGATGCGATACAGGCACTCGCGTCCACCTTCACCTCTGGATCTGTGTCTGGAATGCTGCCTAAGGACGTAGGTCCCTAAGGCTACAGCGTTTTCGGCTTCCAGAAAAATTCCGGCCCTTTTGTCCATCGTTCGCTAGCAAGCAGAGCTTTTGCTAATAACCCCCATGAGAGGTCGCCATTCACATGTCTCCACTGGTCTGGATCAGTACCGTCTCGTGTTATTGCAATGCGATTGGCAGCAAACGTGCGGAATGGCTTGTTCTTGTTTTTTACGTAATGTAACACTGACGTGCTATCCGTGCAGAATAGTTCTCGGTCAATGGCAGCTCAAGCGCTCTCTTCAGAACTTTATCCAACCGGACCGAGACATTTGCGTCTGAAGCTCCAAACGAGGAACAGTGACTTGTTTAAGAGGAACGAGACGTGACTTCCCTTGGAGGATGGCACAATGAATTCTGTCGTTGTTATCAACCAGACGCAGTTACGAGACCGACGTATAACCGATTTCCGAGCCGTCCGAAACCAAATCCGTTGGTCTCTACCGGTCTCTACCATCCAGTGAACACCAAGTGCGCGTTCAATTAATTGATAACTCATCCTTCTGAAGGTCTAGCTTTTTGATTCCTTAAGCACGTTTTTTCTAAGGAATACTCTGTAAAACTTCACGGCTGCAACTGATCCATTTCGTCAATCGAAAACCACCTCGCTCCTATAGACTGCGTTACTCACGGACATGCGTGATAGCTTCATTGACTGATGGCAGCGCCAAACAGATGAACTGTCATCTAATATTCTCCCGATGCGCATGATAAGTTGCCACTTGGCCACCACAGAAACCGGAGAAATGAAGACTGTCAGGGTCAGGCACTCTAACGAGGTGGAACATTGACTCGATGTCCGCCATAACTGCCACATGTTCCTAGCGAAATCTTGTAAGAGGACTTCCAAATGAAAATTGGTGATGTCTGGTCCTTTGAATACCAGATCTTTGACCGACTTTCCCCTATACCTCGCTGCACAGTCAAAGACCACACATATTTTACCTGGCCTGTGTGGATGATAAACCCCACGGTGGGGAATGTACCACGTCTTGACTTCGCAGACTGATTCCCTTTGATAAGGAGGGGGTCTTCGTATGTATCTCTTTACGACGATGTCCTCGACGAAGGCTTTGTAGTCCTCAAGTAACTTGGGGTTCTTTCCAATTTTTTCTTCAGCAAAAGTGCGCACTATTCGGCCGGTATACGGTTGTTTGGCACTGGATGCTGCCTTAAACTTAAACTGCCGAAGCCACGAAAGCGTTTTAAATAAATTACACGCGTAAAGGTGCATTCCACACGCCCCACATAGGAAACGATAGGCTGTGACTAATTTGACAGATTAGAATAACAAAAAGGCTGAAAGTTATCGGTATCTGCTAAGGGGTGTGCTTTGAGTCGGATTTCAAAGAAGTAACAAGTGGCGGGGGTGAGAAAATGTCGATCAAGAATCGTCCTGGGATTTTTGCTATCAGGATTGTTTGTAAAATAACTTACGAGAAATTCCATTCAGAATAAAAAGTTTTTTTCTTTTTCTTTTTTGAAGGGGGGGAGGGGAGTAGGAGAAGGGGCGAAGTCTCTGAAGTAGCACTCTTTCAATCAATTTTAAGCAAGAAAAGACATTATAAAACTTCGTTTTTACCAGGACTTTCTTCAGTAGGTTTGTGGTATTTCTCAAGGAATTCCTGTTCATCTGTGCGACTGCTGACTTCATAAGGCTTCAACTGAGTGTACTCCAGAGTGACTTCCAACTTGGATCCTTTTATTCCTTCCTTACTCAAAGTTGTGTCACTGTAAAGGGAAAAAGAAGAGAGAGAGAGAGAGAGAGAGAGAGAGAGAGAGAGAGAGAGAGCAGCAGAATTTTAAAGATGCCGATAAGATGCATTATCTATCGATCTGTTTCCGTGTTGCCCTGTTTTTTCATCGTTTTGGATTCTCACGCCAGCCAGTCCCTCATTCTATTTTAGGTAATGACCTGTTTGACAACTTTTCTTAAATACACAGGTCTTAAATTTTACACAAAGAGATCAAATTCGTGAGGGCATGTTTAAAGAGGAAGGCTTTTTTTGTTTTTAACTTTATGAATAGCAGCCATTAAAAGCTTTTTGTTTTTTGTTTAAAATAGTGAATATTCAATTAAAGCTCATTTTAATACTAATTTTTTAAGAAAAACACTTACACTTTCTTCTTCTTTTCCAGTCCGAGGCTGCCTAGGTACATCTTGTATTTTGCAATCGAATATTTAGTTCCAAAAGTCCTCTTGCCGCGTACTTCAATATTAAGCTGTTGTTAACAGAAAACGAGGAACAATAGTAAAAGTCTTATATCCATAGGAAAACGATTTGACGTCTATTTAAAGGAATTTATTGTTTAAAGTAGAGTGCTTTACGAGGATCATGCATCGGCGGCTACTCACGGAAAAAGTTATTGAAACCCCTGGTGCTGACGTTTGAGCGTGAGCAAAAAACAAAAACTTGGCCATCCTTCAGAGATGAAAGTCTGAGAAGGTAAGACTTTAATCGAACTTAACTTCAGAAGATCTGACAAAAACCAATACTCTTGATATTTTTCTTCCAGGTAAAGGAAAAAAATCGCGTTTTGAAGCTCAACATTCCAAAAGCCAGTTTGTAGACGGGAATGAACTGTCTGCAGTTTATCAAATACCTTATCATTCGCAAGGTCATAGATAAGTAGGGATATTGACTCCTCGAATGTGGTTCCACCCTGAATCTTCTCAGTATTTTTCTCATCAAGGTTACCAACTTGAAGTGACGTCCAAATCTGATCGTCTGGAAAAATAATCAAGTTTTAGAGCAAAAGAGAAAAGAAAGGAAGAAAATAAAAGTGCTGGGGAAACCGAAGGGTGACAAATACAATTAAGACAAAACAAAACAAAAAAAACCAGGACTTTTTATCGTTATTCATGGTTATCTTATCCCATGAAAAGAAATAGAAACTTTGTAACTAGTGACTAGCAATGTGGATCGCAACTTTTCAGCCGTAAATGCGTTAAAACTGCTGTTTGTCTTCTTCAAGCGACGAGACGGACTGTTTACGTTTAAGTTTAGAAACTTTGTTGTATTATTGTTTGCTTGAGGTTCACATGATTATTTCTGATTTTTATTTCCTTCCACTTGTTCCGTGTCTTCCGCGCGTTCCAAAAAGGAAAACTAAAACTATGACAGTGTTTTCTCTGCAAGTTTTTAAATCCATTTTTTTTGTGTAATTGCATTTAAAATTAATTTGATCGATTGAATTCATTTCCATCGTCATGTTTTAGAAAGGGTCCATATTGGTAAATGGCTCCAAACTTCATTTTGTCACACTGTAACAAAAATAAATTAAGAGCTTCCATGATATTATTTACCTGTATATTTTTGAGGCATTCCACCCTTCAATGTGACTGTTAATAGTCCATCAGCTGAAAGATTATCACAAAAACAGCACTAATTTCCAACAGAAAATGGTGCTAAAACAAAGTGGCCTAATTGGTAACCAACTAACTACTGAACCGGTTTCTTCAAGTACAACAAACCGTTATTTCATGGGGAAAAAAGTCAGTTTGAAAATTACTTTACAGTTTTGTTTTTGTAATGTTTCCATTTCCGATGTTTGCAAAATTTGAATCATATGCATATCATAAATTGAAGTATTTCAAGTCACACCATGGTGGACCGTCTGCGGCGTTGCTTTCGCAAAATCAAAACTTTCGCTGGCAGCCATCTTATTGACTGCCGCGGGACCTCACCGTAAGTTGACTTCTTGGCTGCGCTGAGGAGTTCATCGGGATCAACACCATGAAGAGGAACTTCGATTCTTCCAGGATCAACCAGTGCTACAGAACAGTAAAAATGCCCGAGGAATTAAAAAAGGCTCGTTTGCATCTAAAACTTTTCAGCCACTTTCATATGCAGTAATTAACTTAGAGATAAATCCATTCCGTGGAAAATATTTAAATTATGCTTGAATGTTATCCCTCCATGCAAAGAAAGATGCTTTTTTCACGAGCTTAGAACAAACAAAAAAAATCTGAATGCCAAGAGAGGATTCAAAGTTCAGACCTTCTCGACTTTTTTTCTCGATAGACTAGCTTATTCAAATAGTGAGACCGCGATAATTGAATATTACCGTAAGTCAAACTGTCCATAACGAGGGCATTGATGAAATCTTTCAGCATGGGGATATCCATCACTTGTACTGCGCGCATCAATCGAACATCAAAGTCAACATCTGGTCTATGAAAAAAATTGAAACGCTTTTCAATACAAGTAAGCCTTTTAGTGTAAAAACGAATAACTTCACGTAACCAGTTCATACATTTGAACTTCAATCCATCTTTGTCGTTAAAGAATGACAATTTCCAGAAACCATGTCATTTTTCATTCAACTTTTGAAGAGCATTTATGAGATAATGGCGGACAATGATCTTATTTTGAGAGTGCAAAGAGTTAACAATAGCTACCTTTTGGAAAGCTGTCTTCAAACGTGCAAAGAATTCGACTGTGGAGGCCGCCATTTTGGATCTAGTCACGCAGCCTGGCCGTCTACTTTTGATAATTTTATTAGCAATAATCAGGCATCAGGTGATTACCGAATTGTTTTCCACAATGGTGGCTTCCACTGTCGAATTGTTAGCACATCGGAGATAATTTCTTAGATGTTGGGTACACAAATCGCAAAAAGAAGTACGTTTAGCTTTTAGTGAGGAAGACGAAAATCACATGGTTTGTCGGCTTGTGCATGTACTTCTCCAATATAACGTAATATATTGCTCCTGTCATCAGGAGCAATCTAATCGTTCGGTCTGGCAGATTCTTGTGCAGAAGACAAAGGCAAACAGATGAAGATCAGGAAATTAAATGTGCGAGACCGTATAGCAACCATAACACTTGTCAAAAGTTCACATCAAGCAGTTTAGATCAATTGGATACGGCCGTGAAGACTTTTCTTCTTACTTTTCAAGGAAAGTCACCGAGACAGCTTTCATGTGTGGAAATGGTACAAGGTGATCCATCTCAAACACAATCTGAACACGACCAGACAACGACAAGTCCTCGATACTAACATCAACATCTGCACCAACCCTAGGACAAAAAAAAAACATATATAGGGAAAAAATTTTATTGGAATGGAATTCATCTGGGAAATTCTTTACCACTGTCATTTGCTGGGGTCTTAAATTGGTTAATAAGCGCATAGCAATGTTTGCAAGGTCTATTTACTGTTGTTGCCTGTAGAGCCATCATTTCAATGAATGGACTTCTATCGTTTCAAATGTAGCCTACATCACTTGGGCGAATGTCCCAGATTATTTTCTGGTACTGCTGTAGGAGTAGGAATATTCAAGATACGGACCCTCGTCCTCTCGTTATTTCGACCATAAAACAGCGTATCTTTAACTAAATGCAATTTCTCCTGCGACTCAGTATTACTTGGCTCACACATTTCAGCTTGGGACCCACCATCCTATAGGCTGTGATATTCTGATAAGTTTTTCTTTCTGAACAAAGTCTGTGTTATCAGTTTAGGATCCCTGAAGACGATTACCGCGAAGGTTCCCCCCTCGACCCCAACAAAAAATAAAAATTCCAATCTGACTAGGGGACAGCGGATGAAGATTTTTTGTGATTAGCTAGAGTCCATTTTGATTTCATTCTGGCGGGTTATACTCACATTTTTCCACCCAATCTCACTTTTATAGCGATTTTTGTGTCAGGTGCGTGTAAGCACAGATCCATAACAAGAACTAATAGATGTCTCTGCCTTGTTGCCAGGTCTTTCGGTGGGTTGAACGCTGTTGATTCTGAGGCAGGGATATCTGGAGAGTCGTTCTCATCAATATTCTCAAACACTTTTACATATTTCAGACACGGCGTCTTCTTTCCAAAACTGAACTCTGTTAGTTCCATAGTCTCTGAAATGAGAAGGAACATTAAAATTGAACAAGGATGAAAAAAGTCAAGACACAGTTGTTGCAGGAAAACATTTACTCGAATAAGTCCTCTCCGTTCGTGCTTGAAACCACAGGACTCTGGAAATTCTAATGGTGAAATAAGCGAATTCTCAACTGCTAAAACAAGGATCAGGGAAACCTCACCCCATACAACAACAACGCAGACTATCATCTGCAATGCCAAGAAAGGTATATTTAGATTTCAAAACTCTCCTGAATGAAACCCACCACTTTCCCCCAAATCTGTTAAATACTTTGCTTCTACGCAGATTCTACTCGATCGTTCAATCTCATATAGCGCGTAGAATCATTTCCTTTCGTTGGATCTCGCCTCTACTCAAGTCCGATCACATACTTTACCATTCTGAGATAATTAAATAGAAAAAAAATGACCCTTGTTACCTTTTTGCCCACTGAAAACTATACTTAGGATATTTGCCGAAGCCTTGTAACTACGAGATATTGGCCTATGTGTAACTTCTATCACCCTCATCGAATTGAAATTAAGTCAAAACTTGTTGATAGATACCTGATTGTACTTGTGCCTCACCTATAAACGATGGTTTGCTATACTCCAAAACAGGATTCAAACTGGAGCGTACAAGGTTGCAAAGGGAGACTTCACTGAAATTCCACCTTGAAACAACACGAGAACATTTAATCTGGATAAGTACTTCATATGCATGATCTAAGATGACCTATTTGCGAACAAAGCTTTAAATTCACTGTTTGGAACTTTTTACAAGAATCTTCAGGCAATCAGTATGTGAAAGATTACTTTCTTTAATTGAGATATTACATTCAGTTCTTTTCTAATTTGTTCTTATTGGCTAAAAACGTCTGCAACTGTTTTCTTTAAGTCCGACTCTCTTTTAACCTTCTGTTGATTTTTTACCAACTTCCGCCAGTCTCTCAAGAATAATAGTGTGTAGAGTGTGGTGGCAAACCTTTTCAACAATTGTTTACCCACGAGAAGGTCGCATCAGCTTGTTGAATCAATCTCTATTTTTTTTCCCAGTGATTCGCATTCAATGTTTAAAATTACTTAAGATTTTGTAGATAAAAACTATCAATCGGAATATTATGCTTGAGCATTGTAACTTCATTATTTTCATTATTGACTAATGAAATTCCATCGTGAGTAAGAACCTGTTTACATCAGCCTAACTTGGCAAAAAGTCATTTGGTTTATTAATAATGCAGATGTATTACCTTTCGAATATTCTGCGTTGCGTATTTGAAAGCTTTAGTGTTGAAACGCAAAAACGCTTTAACTATATCTAACCTTGTACAAAAAGATATTAACTTTTGATTTTATCATTGTGCAGTGGAATAAAAACAAAAAATAATTCTGAATTTTGGGTGGTTTAGTAGCAAATGGCCAATTCTTTGTTCTAAAAAAAGCTATGTAAGCAAAACAATCGAGTTTTACTTTTGTAAGCATTGAATTTGCTTTGCTAGGATATGCGAGTGGTTTAAAGAGTAGATAAATAATTTACTTTTGAAAGTTGCCGGTTAACGGTTTTTCCGGCAATCGAGCGATTTCTCTTTGAAAGATATCTGTTTGACCCACCCAAATAACAAAGCGGCCTCCAAAATGCTGCGACGTAAACATTGTCATACGGTAGCTGATTTAAATCCCTTCTCTATTATTTTTGTCTGCAAACCTCAGTCTTTAAACTTCGGAAATTTAATTAGCAAACGTAATATCATACCATATCATCAGCTACAAAAACCTGCTAACAATCGTTTCATAGTTACCATCGGTTCAAAACAAAGTTTAGCCATTCGGCTGTCTCCTCGTCCCGTAAGGCCTTTCTTCGGTGTACTTTTATTTCTGCTTCTCTGACACGATCGTCTATAATGCGGCAATTTTTGCGATACCATACTGTAAATATCAATGGTATTATAAACCCTGCCCATACGAAGGAAAATCCATAAGCTCCCAGGAACCATGTAATTGCAACAACGGCACAGACGAACAGCGACAAACGCAATTGCGTTTCATCTCTTTCTTTCTTAGCCTGCGCTTCCAAAGCTTCCGGGCTGTTTTGCGACATGTTCTTATCGATTCGTTAACTGATCAAAAACGGAAAAAACTGAACGTGTTTCTGCATAGTGGAGTGGCTGTTTTGAGGATTTGCTTTCAACATCGAGCCTAGCCGATGAATTATTTACGAGGTACCTGCTAGTTTTGGAGCGTTTTTATGCGAAATAACAGAATGGCAAGTCAAATAACAGAAATTTGGCTTCGAGTACCGCAAAACAGTCTTGCGGCTAACTCATTTTTGTTAAGGTAGACTATCTAAAATTATCAATACTAAATGTTCACAGTTATTTACATCGTTTTAACTGAGGCTAAAAACATATCTTGTGCTGAAAGCCTTACAAATTTGTATGGTAAAGAAGGTATTTGTTAAACCCGTCTTTGACATCAGTATTTTCCTTAGTATGTCAAGTTGAAGAGCTAATGACCGCGGTTTCCGTAGGAGCGCAAATTTCTTGGAAAAGAAGTATTTTTCTGGATCTATTCAGTTATGTCAAAATTTACACAATTAAATGATATCGTTTGCCATATTTGGGCGGATGTCATAGTTACAAGATTGTATTACTGAAAGTAACTCTTGTAATCCTACGCTCAAAATCAAACCATATTTGTCAGAAAGGTTCAGCAATCTTGGGAGCAAGATCTGCAAATATTAAGCTAACTATAGCGGTCGGAAAATCGACTTCTTTCGATTTTAAATAGTCAACAAATAGTAAAAATTTCTGAATGTATTTTGTTTCTGTTTCAGACCTCACTTAGACGAGAGAGTGAGAAAGTTAAGTTTGAACCTTTACAGGCCAAAATGACCTAACTTACATGTAAAATCTGATACTCCCTGAAGTGGCCTCCATGTTCGCAAACGAAAGCTTACAGAAAAATTTGGTACATTCGGTCCACAGGCAAACCTGCTGCCTCTCACCAGGAAATAGTTTCAAGTTGGCTGCGCATTTTATCTGGTTTAAGATAAATCTGGGGAAAATGACAATTTTTGGGCGACTTAGGAGTCTTTGAAACTCAGAAAGATGTGGGCTGCACCACGTGAATAGAGAAAAGAATTAACGAAGCTTGCTTCGTTAGCCACGTGAAGTACAGTCTCGCGTGTTTACGTTAATTCCCGCAGCCTAGAAATTGAAAACCTACCGACTCATTAAGGCTGCTCTTACCTATTTGCCGGAATACGTATTGATTTTGCCAAGAGAACTTGGATCTTAAGCCGCATCTACGCATTGTGCAGACGAGGAAAACCTTTCAATTTTAAGTGGCAGATATATTTGCCGAGAAGCTTACGGGTTTGCTTCTTCAATGCCGAGAAACAAATAAACTTTCACACGGTACAGGGCAAATGAACATGCCAAAAAAAGATGACGCACATGTAAAAATATATTACAATGCATAGTCAAACAGGAATTTATAAAGCTGAGGGAAAAAAAAAACACTTCCAAAATATTTCATCTAAACTTTTCACTCCTAAATCGAGCGAGCTATGAACTAGGCAAAAACTCTAGACTACTAAATGTAAATCTCTCTTTTCCCTTCTTTAAGCTGTTCTGTTTGGAAACGAAATTATTTTGCCAAAATTGTATACCTTTACAGCAAATTCAGCTCTTATTTAAACACAGTTAAGTACAGTCTGTACGTTATGTATTTATATATGCAGTAACTTTTGCATATGCTTCTGAGTGCAAATATTTTTAATGGAAAGATAAAAAAAGAGCTCAGCGCCTTTTCTATGCTAATAGCTTGTTGTGTTTCGGTAATTTTTGTAAAAAAAGTGATAGACAGTGACTATTCGCCTGTTAATGTACAGATTAAAAAATATTATTCCTCGTGAATGTGCTAACCAAGAACCGAAATCAGGTTTCAGTTGTCAAGTTATATATTTCAGTATGTTCCTCGAAACTTCGATCTCCGGCTGGTGCCGGAAAGCATTCATTCCTTTGGGATTAGTTTCGTTGTATTTTGTCTCCTTGTTTTGTCTTTTGTTTTGCTTGTTTTACGTCATCTGCGCTCCGGTACCTGGAGAGAGATGCCTAAACTCACTCAATCTAAGATACATGCGTAGGTTACAACTTTCTGTAAAACACATTCACTCCAGACCTTGTCTAAGGAGATTTTCTGTATTATTTTCAGTTGAACGAAAGTTTTAAACTTTGGTTAGCGATATACAGTAACAACACATCGCAGACCATGACTTTTCTACCCCTTTATTGCCATTCCTTATCAAGCAATATGATCAAATTTTTACACCTCGCTAAAAGCAGCATGGTGACTAGCTGCCACAGGGGCGTTTTGGCTAGTAGTTATTGGTGCATTACGATCCTCGTTATCATTCTGGCTGCTTTATTGTTCCCCCATTGGTTCAATAAGTATATCCTACTGGACGTTTTAGTGGAAGTATCAATGAGTATTTTTACGAGTTGCGCCACACACTACTACGCACTACACGACAGAACATCTAACAAGTTATTTATTGTTCAACTGCTTTATTTTATGTCCATTTCTTATGCGAAGCAGATAGAGAAGCGTGGCACATACAGCGAACCGATCGAACAGGTTTTCTTTACAGAACAAAATAACCAACTGTCCTATATCGCGTGATAGTTACATCAAATTCGGGCGTTGTAAGTACTCTTGTGTGGGTAGGAGGAAAGCAGTATGGTTACAAAAGACTTTCACGGCCGGGTCACAAAAAATTACGGTGAAAGCAAGTGCTTTGAGTTAATCCCTATAAAACCACATATCAGTTTTTAAGCTTATAAAATACAAAATTCGATAATTTAATCATTTCTTACTTTTCTGAAATGTGGAGATAATAATTTTGCAGAAAGGAAAAAACTACCCATGCGTCTTCAATCGCTTTATGCGCGCCTAAGTTTTTTTGTTTCGGTCGAAAGTCTTTGTGTAGTCAATCAGCAGATACTGCGCTGAGAAACTGTGTGGCCGATTATTGACTGACGTCTTTTTTCAAAGCTTTTCAATTTCGAGTATGTAATTTTTATTGCTGACCTTTGCACTCCTCATCACATCTCAATTTACAATCGAAATTCGGCCACAAAATTTTTGTCTTTATTCATTGTTCTTATTCTGTGCCAATTTTCAAGGGAATCGCTTTGGTTTTGTACGTGAGGCCAGAATTCGAAAACGTTTGGCCCATTAAAATTGGTTCGAACATCAAAGCAGAGAAAAGCGCTTCCAAAGTTTCCTTAGACGATTTGCTCACTTAGATACAAAATTGATTTTGTCCTAAATTCTCGCCAGAAATAATTCTTTTTCTACTAAAGTGATGAATGTCGACAGATTACTCTTAATCACTTAAGGTTATGCAAAAAAAAAAAAATCAATTTTAAAAAAATTTCGTCCCTGAAAGTATCTTGTATCCTTTTTTACATCATCAGGGTTCACAAAGAAAGGCAAGGAAAGGCAAAAAAAGGAAACGAACTGGAAACTATTCTAAAGAAATTAACCACTAACAGTTGATGCGGCTTTACAAAACATGATGACAATTCACGGTTACATGCACTAATTACAACTGCTCTCTAAGTATTCATCTCGAGAAGAAGTTACGGGATGATACATAATAGCTTTCTCAACCTAACGTTAAAGAAGAGCAAAAACGAAAATAAGAGTTAGAGAGATTCACATGACAATTTCCACACTCACCTTTAGAAATTTTTCTTCGCTTAGAAAATGTAAATGGTAACGAAGAGCTCTTTTGTGCGTCCTGTTTCTTAACTGTGTTGACTGTGGTTGACTACTTTCATTATGTGGAACCTTCGTTAATTAAATACTGCAAAACATTGTGAGCTTCTTTACAAAAATATCTTCGTCCTTCCTAGTAGTTCCGGTCCTCCACGTAGGACAGGTGCAGTGCGCGTCACGTGACGCTAATAAACCATCATGCCACGCGTCTCGTGTCAGCAAGTGCATTGAATAATAATAATCTGTTCCTGTTGTCGTTGGTGTTACATTACCTTGAGCAATTTTCCAACACCAATACGGTAGAGGAAAAATTACAGAGAATTAAAATGGCAAGTACTCTGACAGAACGAGAAATTGACGAGTCTCGTGATGCTTTTAATCTGTTCGATACTGTTGGAGATGGAAAAATCGAGTCGTCGGCCATTGGATTAGCTTTGAGATCTGTTAACCTAAATCCTACCCAAGCTGAAGTCGACAAGGTGTTGAGAGAAATTGATCCAAGTGGTAAGAAGCGGATTTCTTTCGAAGAATTTTTACCTATCATGCAATCGTTTCGCTCACGGACGCACAAAGTTGGTTATGATGCTTTTGTCGACAGTTTGAAAGTGTTCGACACGGATAATAATGGCTGGATCTCTTCTGGCGAACTTCGTCATGTACTAACCGGCTTAGGGGAGAGGCTAAGCGATGAAGACGTGGATATGTTACTTCAGGGCTTTGAAGACAACCAGGGTCTTATTAATTACGAGGATTTTGTCAAGAACGTTATGAACGGCTAGAAACAGAATTGTTAGAAATTGCCATTATAGACCGCGCATCGACCTGATGCAACACCACGTTTCAGTGCTACTTTGTTTTTCTTCGTTCTAGATCATTAATGATTAGTTTTTGGAGGAGTTTGTTATGATAGAAAAACTGAGAGAACTGCAAAGGTTTTTTCGGCTGTGGTTGGACTTTTCAATTTTTCCTTTAGTGGCACAATTGTACATCCTGTTTCGACGTAGCTTATCAGCGAGTGTCAAGTACGTATTCATATGAATTGTAGTCTACGAGCGAATGACAATACCAACGAAAGTTTCATCTGTTAGTGAAAATGTGCACTGCAAAAGTTATCTTTCAAATAAGGAACAAAAAACATACCAAGTTGTAGAAGAAATTAGATATTTAAGCTGTTTAGATCGCTCAGGTTTTTCTCTATTGTGCTGAAATGCGTGGCAGAATATTCCTTCTTGCTTTGTTCACGCTTCAGCGAATATCATTCAGTCGATTTTTGAACCAAGCATGATTTACATTTTTCTCAGTTATGGGCAACAATGAAAATAAAATCTCTGTTGACAAATGCCACTGAATGTTTACTTGCAGAAGTATGATTTTCCAAGGTTGACTTCAGTAATCGCTTTCCAGTTTCAAGGTTTGAATGCAAATGAGATTTAATGAAATTCAATTTCTCCCGGGAAAGCATTTGTTAAAAGCAGCATTGTTTTGACAGTTTATCTTACCTGTGTGTACAAATTTGCATAAACAACTTATTCCCAAAGTATGTTTTTAAATAAGTCTTTTTATTTGGGATGAAATGCGGAAAGTATTCAGTTCAAAGACGTCGCTGCTGATCGAACGTTCTGGGGTGAAATTAATGATAATAAAGATGGTAACAATGATAATATCTTTCGGGAGTACATCAGGAAAACTCCTTGGGCAGCAAGATCTACTTTTTACGACTTACAAAGATGGGGAAAAAATGACAATTTCATACGTACAGTCAATTGTTTTGTTGTTGTGAAAACTGATATCAACAACCATAAGAAACCAAACAGAAAATGAAACAAAAGGACAAAACAAGAAAAAAAGAAAGGAAAAAAATAAAAATAAGCAGCATTCAGGGAAAAGGGCCGCAGACATTGCTCAGTGGTGGGTATGCTTGCTTTTCCTTTGGCGCACCTACCAGTCGTTTCGCACCCACGGTCGTTTCGCACTCGGTCGATTTGTACCTAGATAGGACCATTCGTACCAAGTCAGTTTAGTGGTTTCGTACCTATACTAATAGGGTATGTTTCCTATGTCTAAAGCAATCGTTTCGTACCTAGGTTTTGATCGTTACTTGGTTTTGGTACGTGTACAAATCGCATCAAACTAGGCACGAACGTCTGAATTTTGGTAGTGGATACCTGTGGCGCGGGTGCGTTTCTAAGTTCTTGTTTACTTTTCTTCCTTTTTCTGTGTGTGTTCTACATAGAAGCAAAACTCCTAATTTGCATTTAACGTTAAAAAAGTCATGTAGAAATCCATTATCATAGATAATCTCTATAAACCCGATTCACTGTGACACAAGCGTTCGGAAGCAGGCACTGGTTTCATATTCGGAGTTGATCGTCTTCAGGTACGTCGCCGTCGTAGCTCTAACGCGCAATGATGATGTGCAGAACAGATTCGACGAACGTTTTCGGGAGAAGAACAAAAGTGCACGCGACAATCTTGAGAGGTAATTTGGGCGTCCGTTAATCAATAAATTTTCAAACAAGTAAAATGAATACATACATTCCTCGAATCCGCGATGACTCGTCTTTACAATGATGTTTTCTAAGGCTTCCTTGAAGTCCTAAGACCTGAAAACTACCCTCAATGACTTTCGGTGTTGTCGCGTGCACTTTTACGCTTTTGTACCACAACCTTTCTCCTTTCTTGGGAATTCAATTGAAGGAAAATGTTATTCGGCGAATGAAACTCGGAAAGAAAAAAAATTCCGAGTGCTGATAAGATTCGAGCCTACGATCTTTCAATTACTACTTCAGATGCTCTTCGACTGAGCTATAGGAGACTCGTGGCAAGTTAGGCCGTTTAACTTTAGGTCCATCATAACAAACTTTCTGCATACTTAGAGCACAGGAATGTCGATATGTGATGCTTATGTGCAATGCTGATATATATGAAGATGGTTAATTTTAAGTATGATCATTTAAGTGAAAGAAGATGCTATTCACTGAATAACACCGATATTCTCGAAGAAAAATAGGGTAATGTCCGCGTGCTTCAAATGAGATTCGAACCTACGTGTCGATATACTTGATGCTTATGCGCAATGATGCGAGGGTAGAAGTGTCGATACTTGATACTAATGAGCAGTGTTGATGTCAATCAATTTGACAAATTTGAAGTCTGGTGATTTAAGTAAAGGAAGATGTTATTCAATGAATGCCACAGGCATACTCCGAGAAAATAAGGTCTCCTTCTGCTCAATAGGAGTCGAACCTACGACGTTTCGAATGGTAATTCAGACGCTCTACCACTGACTTATAGGAGACTCGTGGTAAGCTAGGCCGTTTAATTAGGTCCATAGAGATTAATATTGCGAGGGTAGAAGTGTCGATACTTGATGCTTGTGCGCAATGATGATGTAAATCAATTTGATGAATTTTAAGCCTGGTAATTTAAGTGAAGGAAGATGTTATTCATTGAATGACACAGGCATGCTCGGAGATAAAAGGGTAATATTTCCGCACAGCCCCATACTACATTACGAATTCAGTTCTTGGATAGACAAAACAACCATAAAAACAATACATGGAAATGAGATGGTAGATAACCAACGAGGCGCGGAGCACCGAGTTGGCTATAACCAATCTCGTATCAAACAAGTGCGAATAGAATAATTGTCTTATTAGTTTACATTACATTCTGAGTGTTTGGATATTTGGAGCTTTTTTGAAGCTGCGCAACAGTTGGCGCAATACATTTCCATGTAAGGTGACTCGAAATATGAGCGAATAACGGGAGCTGAGTGAACCAATCAAAACACTAGAGATGCATTGTTCGGAGTTGAACATTTTATCATTCTTATACCATCTGATTACCTTTTGATATCATTGGTGAAAAATTGTGCTCGCATTCTGGTCGCATTTGAAAATAAAACAATCCCAAACCGGGTTCTAAACACTGATGAAGAAGTATTACTCAATTCATCTGTTAAATGGCGCCAAAGATTTCCATTAACAAAAAAAAAGGAAACAGATAGATGAATAAATTAAAAAATAGATAAAATTTAAAATGACCTCGATGACTATCAGTGACACAGTCGCCGGTTCTGATCATGCGCCATTTTAAAACCGACCAACAAAGAAGAATTCTATGACCAGGCAGGCAATACTATTATGTGAACCGATGAAAATACATTGCAAACCGTACAGCACATTTTTGTGGCTGCTGCCTCCTATATTTTTAAGAAGTCCGAAGTTACATAACAAAACGCAGGTCGTATCGGATGGGGGTGGGTGTGCAACCTCAGTACCCCTCCCCTAGATCCGCCTCGGCCCAAACACAACCCTTTACAACCAATGTTCGATTTTCGATTTCATTGTTATTGCAAATATTTTATTTCCACTTTCTATCTCCTTGTATTACACTTGAATAAATGAGCTATTTATTAAATCAAAACCCGTCCAATACCCGAACATGAAAACGGACAACTAGTTCGAACTTGAAACCAAACTTATTCATGCTCAGAAAAAAAGAAATTAAGGAAAGCTTAACGCAGTCTACAACTGGTTTAGAGAGGCGATTGAAATCAATGAACTAACGCGAAAAACTTTCCATGATTTTCGCCAAAATCATGTTAATTATGGTCGATTATTAACCGAAAGTTTTCGTGCTACCTTAAAAAAACTTAACGAAATAATTTTTTTTAAAGATAAAATAAGGTCGACCACATACAAGACTATCCAGACGTTCTACAAAAGAATTACGCCAAATGAAGTCAACAACTAGTGCTTCTTGGAGTCGAAATTGTTTTTGAGCTTATCTGCGTGTATTGTAGCCGTGCACTTGAATAAAATGCTTACATTATGGTAAGAGTCGCTTGCACCTTGTCTTCTGTTCAACGACAGAAATTTCTGAAGATTCCTAGATAACTATTTTTGGTGACGCAATTGGTTTCTTTGTGGCCAGCTGCTAGAATGAAACATTTCAGATCAAGAAACGAAATTCCACGAATCGGGAAAAAGACTCTAATTAAACTAATTGTTTTCGATCCTTGTAGAACGCCGATTAGCAAAAGAATTTCGAATCACGTTGTTAATGGTACAGTTTATAAGAAGATTACTTTACTTCGATAGAAAATTCGTTAAAAGCCAGTTGTGTTTGTGATCCTTATTGCTGTATGCATACAATGTTCTTCTAAAATGTGCTGTTCTGACACAATAAGCATACAGTAAGCAATTGTTGTAATTAATTATTAATTTCCTACATCGAGGACTGACTCTTTGTTATTGTCTCTGTATTTGGGTAAATGGATGCATTTGTTCCGAGATTGTAATTTTATTGTTAAATGAATACCCCCAGGGCATAAGCCAATGGTCATTCGTCGGCTAACAGTAATAATCATTCGAATTTACATTGTGGTACCAAACGAACAAAACTTCTACGCGATGAGTATTAGCCATAAGTACCTTGAAACCAAAACAAACTTCCCTCCTTATCAGGAATTTTTGGAACACCAATTGAAGAAGACTTAACTTTACATTTTAGTGAGGCTATCAAAATAACGTGGTTTCAAATGTCGCAAAGGAAGTGCAAAGTAACCAGTGTAGCCAACGATGACGAAAAATCGGAAGCAAAGCAAACTTCTGACGCTGAAGAAGGAAGACAAGCTATTCGCCGGGCAAACCAGCACCAAAAGCTCATAATATCAGTACTTATATTTACGATCATAGCGTGGCTGGTGGGTAAGACTGATATTAGCATATTTTGGATTTTTACACTGCTCGTATGGATCTTGTTTTGGTGGAATAACACCGCTACACATGTAATAGACAGTGCTGTCAAAGAAGCAGAAATTGATAGGAGGCGACAAAAAGCATTGTCGAATGGAGAAACGGCAGAATGGCTGAATTTTCTGATTAATCGATGGTAAGTGTGAGAGATCATTGTATCCTGTTATGAGCTGTAAACAAACCCGATAGGTTTCTTGTAAAGTACCGAAGTTAAGTTGTGTTTCGATGCTGAGCGAATGCACTTAACACTGTTCCCAGCGTAGACAAAAGTTCGGTGACTGTTCCTTATAAATTCTTAAGAGAACAAGTTTAAAATATTTTGGTATCTTTGTAACCTTTCGGGGAAAAAAAAAAAAAGGATGAAGGGCTTTTACTGCCTTTTGGAAACGAATCTGTATGAATTCCTTGGTGCCCGCTGAGAGAATAAGATACCCCATGATTCTTACATAAAGTAATCGCCGAAATGGATGGGAAAAATTGTCCTAGTATTTGTCATAAACTTTAAATTTTCTGTTATCAGAGATGTCTATCCCGATAAAGTTCAATAAAATGAAAAGTATGCATCCAATTGAATTCAATTGAAATGTTTTGCATAAATAGCGTCCTCAAACTTAAATGAGGCGATTTCTCTTAAACTTTCTTCCAATTGTTCTCTCCTGTCGTCTGGTCGGTGGAATATAATCACCTCTCTTCGAGAAGGCAAAAACAATATTCTTCACATGATACATTCTATAGCGACATCACTTATAAATAAAAACATAGGGAAATCAAAATTATTTCTTGGCGGAATATGCGGGAACACTATCAGAAACAACACTTCATCATGGTAACACTTGACTTTCTATAAAAATTATTGATCGATTTAAGTTCAAGCTTAATTCACATCTTAGTTAGGAATTTTTCAAAATCCTATCCTAAACAGAGAAATTTACCTCAACATATACAGTTTGATCCATTTCAGACACTAATCACGCGCAAGCCTTTAATATTTTATGGCAATTTAATAGAATTTCGCTCAATCTCGACCGCACAATTTAGTCTTAGACTAATCACAAATTTTCGATCAGACTGATATTACATAGGGCTACCTTTGTTTCTTATGGCATAATTAAAACCATCAGATTCATAAAACTTTTCTCTGTTATTTCCTTGGTATTGAGTTATTCCAATTACTTCTTTTCGAAGAAAAATTAGACCATAATTCAAGAGGTGTTGAAGTGTTAAAAAAAAAATATCAATGTTTACATGGCAATTTTCATACAGGGGCTGAAACCATGAATAATTTTTTTTCCCTCATGACGAGTCTGCTTTCTTGTTCAAATACTGATGGATCATTTAGACTTTTAAAAATGAAGGAAGAGGACCAAAATACTTTCATGAGGACGTTGAAGACTTGAGGAAATACTTGTAGTTTACGGGGAAAAAAAGTATTTGCACCTCAGACAGGTAATTAAAACTTTTGACACTGCGAGTTAGTTCGAAATTATTGTCGTTTGAAATTCTAAACTTTAAATAAGAGTAAATTAATTAATCTGCATTTGAGTTTAATGGCCAAAGGCCGCTAAAACCTGATCCAAAAAGTCCATTTAATGAATCGGTACTGTTATGTTTTTACTCAAACAGTCGTATAGTTTTGTTTTTTATCTGTCATATTTTCCTCGGCGCACAAGGTTTGTTATAGATAGATTTTTTATAGATAGATTAGTTATAGCCAGTCAGAATCCAGCTGTAAACGCGTCGAAATTGATAGCTCTTAATCACGATGACGGTATTTACAGTACGTTCACCAGCAAACTTCGTTTGATCTAAATTTTCATGAATCTTTGCCACTTTCTAGTTGTTTTCACGTGGGTGTTCTCTTGATTTCAATGCTCATGGATCACGTTCCTTTTAAATTCACCATTCCGCACCTTGAGAGCGAGGCTTGCTATGAAATATGGTATTGCGACTTAATCATCCATGAGGCCTTTTAAAGCCATTTTGTAATGTTACACTAAGGTTCGTTACCAAGTATCACTCTAAGAATGAACGGTGCGCCCACACTAGCAAAGTGGAGGCTTTTTCTTTATGATCGTCAGTAGTAATTTTTTTTCTGAATACAGGTTGAATGATCTATTACTTTTCCCAGTTTCATTGGCTGCTAGATTCTCGCCGGTTTGGCTCATCGGTAAACCGAGTAGCTTTGCGCTGTTACTGTCCACTTGCTGACTTTGTACGCCAGCGAAATGCCGGCTTAAATTCGGCACACCGGACTAAAGACTACTTTCAAAACACTGCTCATCGAAACATACCGATCGTGAGTGCAGCTGCCTTTTCAAAATATCCTTAAAATATATTCAAATCGGTAGTGTTTTCTTACAGGTTTGTTTTCAGCGACAGATCATTACTGAGCTCCATCAAAAGAAACCTGGAGCCGATCCTTAAGGCCCAGAAGCCATCCTACGTAGGTAAGAGTCCAATGCTCCTATGAAGCTACGCAGAGAGTATATGGTTGTAAGAACGCCCACCTCTTAACTTATCGCCGAGGCCTGGGTTCGATTCCCTCATATGACGTAATTTGCGGATTGAGATTATTGTTAATTCATGTCTTTAATCCAAGTGCATTTCTTCCCGTTCTGCCGTTTTCATGCCTCCACAAAAACCTGGACCAGTAGGCAAAATATAAAGGAAAATATAAAAAATATAGACAACAGGGCAAAATATAAAATTAACATTCACGGGACTTATGAGGAATTTTTTACTTCAGATAACGCACAGTTTCATTTTGGTATCGTTGCGAGTCTCTTCAGGTTATTTTAAGTCCATTTTGCAATGCTTCATGAAACCTTTTACTTTTACTTTCCAGTTAGAAAGGAAAAGGAAAACGGCCAAGTTTCGGAGTGGGAATTACGATGGAACGGCCTTTTCTTCTAAAAAGTTTTGAGTTAAAAAGAATACACTCACAGTAATTCTTCTCTTTTTTTTTTTTACTAGAATCGCTTGAGAATCATTGAAAATGTTACAAAGTATTCAGAGTCTTTCTAGCCAAGAGTTTTTTCGCATTTTTCGAGACCCAGACAGATTCAGGATAAACACAACTCTGCTTAAGGAGCACACTTTTCCTCTTTCATTTTGTTTTCGGGAAAAATTATACTTTCCCATTCCTTAGGAGAGTCTCTTCGATATTCTATCACAAATGGAAAGCAACCCAAGGTTTCTTATTTTTCGTCTTATGTTTGTTTTTCACAACCTCATATAACCTCCTCTACTCATTTTGATTTAGGTTCCATAGAGATTCTGGATTTCACCCTGGGCAATAGAACACCTTACTTCAAATACGTCACATCTTATGATAACTATGACGATCAACGGAATATAAAAGCTACCGAGTTAAACTTTAATCATCCACCTGATGATCTGATGACTAGAGGCAAATACCAGGCAGTCATTCAGCTGGAAGCCGGTCTGACCTCTCCAGAAGCAAGATTCGTCATAAGAATCAGACTTGGTAACAAGGGGTAGGAGCAATTGTGTTATTCATATAAGAAAAAGAAAAAACCGCTCACTTTTCTCTTTACAGTCCTCATAAAATTATCAAAATTTTTCCACCCACTTATCGGTTTTAAAAAATTGCATATTCCAACAACAATTTTTTATTTGAATGAATTTATCATGAAAAGAAGATAGTTTTAGGCGGCCAGGATTGACTCCATGATTTGGGATGCTGTAATGTGACTGTTAAAAATGAAATAGTCAAACCACAAGCCAAAAAAAAAAAAAAAAAAAGAAAGCGACCGAAAAAATTAAGTTACAATCAAATTCTGTGATTTATTGGTGCAGAAGCCTTCTTAGTATCGTTAACGTTACCCATAGAAAATCAAAAATAGAAAAAAAAAAACAGAGGTGTGGCACTTTTAATTTGGCGCGCCTTTGTCGTGCAGAAATTTTTGTTTCTTTTTTGTCTCATTCTGACAGGATGAATGGAGGGGAAGTTGATATGATCGGTTTGTTAAAGATGATTGGGATTCTATGAAACCTTTTGCTCGGTTGAATCTAAAAACCTTATTTTAACCTACAGTATAACAAAGAAGTTTGCAGGCTTTTGCATACAGTTATTGACACTAGCCACGGTACCCCCTAAATGCTAATACTTATGAGTAAGGATGAGGATAAATTGACTCGTGACAAATAGTGCCACACTTTAAAGTTTGTCGGAATACGCTCAAAGCCACTTAATTTACCATGCTCCGGTAAGACTGAGCTCAGATGAGCATACTAGAGATTGGAAGAATCGCTCGCGTCATCTAAACCTAGAGTGTTCTGGGCAAACAATTGAACCTGTTTGTCTTGCAGGTTTCTTGGCGCCTGTACTGATGTAGCAGTAGAAGATCTTCACATTCACGGAAAACTGCAGCTGGTGTTGCTGTTTAATCAAAATATTCCCTTTCCTCATCTGGCAGCTGTAACATTATTCTTCACCGAAGAGTAAGATGTGTTTAGTGTTTTAGATATACGCTAGAGTAGGCAGTAAACTCAAAACAATGCCCCCGTTCAAAATGATCACTAACCTCATTTTCCCTAAAATCCATATATCAATCAATTTACATTATAAGAATTTTTTTTTGTTTTGATTTGCCTGTTTCAGACCAGACGTATCGTTCAACATTCGTCTCCTGAAGGCTGTACAACTAATGGAGTTTCCCCTCCTCAGACAATGGATCACACAAATGGTCAACGATTACCTAAAACTAGGTGAAGATACTTTTCTTTTGTCATACCCACTCAAGAGAGAAGGGTCTTCTCTTGATCAAATTAAGTATTCCTTTTAGCCCAAACGTGGTTAAGATCAACAGCAATTTGCACAGGCTCAGGCTCTATATCTCAAGTCGACAAGAGACTCACATCGTCTCATCCTGTCTTTCCCAAAGGCCTCATTTCAAAGTAAAACCTTTCAGTTAATTTTTAGACTCAAGGCCTCTGGATGTTTTACTGGGAAACGTTAATCTTGAGAAAGAATACAGTGTAACTTGGCCCTTCACACTCTAACATCAGTCTGCATGTTCTTAATAGCGTGCTCCATACTTAATAGTGTACTCCAAGTTGGATCTTGTCCCAACAGGCAAATCAGCGATAATAGTGCAGGGGATCAAACAGGTTTGACCGTTTGCATATAATTCAAAAGGAAGAGTAAGACTGAAAGATTTACAATGACACGTGTTCCTACCTGCAGCTTTGGTAGATCCTGGCCACATAACAATTCCATTTTGCGACGATCCTGAGGTTGTCGGAAGAGGAGCAGCATATGGTGAGTGGATCCACCAAAAATTATTATTGTGACTACGACTCATGCTGTTGTCAAACAATGGTTTCTTTTCTCCCGGGTTTCTCAAGAGGAAAGCACGTGTAATATAAGAAAACAAGAAAAGAATCCAAAATGGCACTCAGAAAAGTTTCAAAATACCTTCAGTTCTCTATTAATTAAACTTAATCCTTACATTCCTTAATATCTGTTTAATCTGAAGCATGCGGTGTTCTTACTTTGACAATCAGCGGAGGATCTCATGGAAAACTAACAGGTAAAGCATGATTTATTTTGCTTATAACAGAGATTTGAGGGCTAATTTTAGGCGTTGATGCAGAGTCACCTGACGAGGCTTTTTTCACCAAAATATGAGGCTTTGTCAAATCTCATGATGACCTTGGTAAGCCTGAAGGTTTGAGCCTCAACCCAGAAGAACTTGTGCTTTGTGCTTTCTTTGTGATGCTATCTGTATATGGCTTTAAGTTCTAGTCTTGTCGGATGAGGACAATAAATCGAGGCCTTGTCTCCTTTCCCTGACTCCACATCAGAGGTCATATCTTTTTCTTTCTCAAAAGAGTTTTCACATAGGATTCTAGCCATAACGAATTATGTCACATTTTCGCACCTTACCTATAAGTAATTCTTGTCTGTCGTAGATGATCCTTACTGGTGCTCTGTTAAGATTGATGGTCAAAAGCGATACACCAAGGAAGTGACGGGAGAAAATCAATGGAGTGCTAACGTATCACTGTTGGTGTATAATCTGCATGCTGACAAGGTAAATATCTACCGATATTCAACAAATCGTCTTAAGATTATGACTGACTATGAACTGACCTCTCATGTTCACTTAAATGAGCTGTGCATAAATTGTTGAAGAAAAAAAAATCTCATAGTTAGGGAACGATACATAACAAATTTTCTAGATATTGTCCGCTACTTGACTTATCCTGATTTAAGTGTGACTATGATATCTGAAGCTTGAACCTCTGTTGCGTGTGTTTATCTATTTTGCAAGTATCTCAGAGGCGCGGGTTGGAGTCCCGTGGAAACTTGAATTGTTTCAAGCTTCTTTTCTGCAATTGTGTAAATTTAAGTTCACCTGCGAGGATCATTTTTTTGCTTGATTTTCATTCTCAGATCAAATAAAGTTTATTTGACGAAAAAAATGTAATCTCTTTTCAGTTGGTAATCAAAGTGAAAGGACGAAGAAAGCTCGGCACCAAGTACACTGTGGTTGAATATGTCCTGTTCCTTTCAAAGTTTTGTTTGGAGAGCAATCCTCAGCAGTAAGCTATAACTGTATCATAATCCAATGAATTAATTTGAATAATTGTACTGAGAAACATATCTCCTCACACAAAAGTCCTATCCAACTTTCCTTGTGAATGACATCATGTTACCCGCTAAAAGTTGTCTTGATAAAATTTGGTTGGTAACCTTTGAAATTTTCTTTTCATAAGATGGTTGTGAATTAAGAGTTGCTTAGTTGTCGCAGTAGTTGTCGACGATGTTTTAAATCTGAAACAGCGTGCAAAGGTATGCACACACCTTAAATGAGGTTTCTTAATGCTTTACAAACCTACAGTTTGGTGGTGCAACCAATAACTTGCGGCTGCCTCATTGTCGTAAACATTTTCTTAATTCTTAATCAGTCTGTGTTGTTTATATCAGTGATCAAGTGCTCGAAAAGTCGTCTTTAAAACCGGCTACCCTAACAGTGCAGATGGAGTACACACCTCTTCCAGTGATTGACGTGTGCCACTCATTAACCTCTGAGGACTTTGGCAGAATCTATTTGAGCAGACTACGAAATCTCCACCCGAATGAAGGTAAATATGTAACTCTTTTTAAATTTTAACATTCACACTGAGCCGAGTATTGCGATCTCTTTGGTGCAGTTTCTAAGCGTTTCTTGAACCGCCTTGAAACATTTGGTAGTGACTACAGGGAAATTAAGAAGAGCGTTTGAAAAAAAGGCAGAAACGAGTTCTGATTTAGCCAACTTTTCCTACAACTCACCAATCTATCCCCCAGTAATAATTCACAAAAATTTCTCTTTTTTTTTTCAATTAATAACAATTCTTCATAAGCGCATAAAAAACTTAAAGTAAACAGTTTCAAGACCAATTTTTTCTGCCTCCCGTTTGCGAGAAGCATCATGCTTCAATTTTCCGACATCTAGTCTGTTTTTGTCCACTTCAGTTTCAGGAGTTCTACTCGTCTGTGTTCACAGCGGTCAAGGCCTGGTTCCCATGGACAAACATGGACGCAGTGATCCGTATTGTGTAATTTATGAAAACGGAAGACAGGTAACGCACCCAAGCATAAATAAATTTTTTCTTCAATTCCCTGCCCTCAAAGAAGTTGAACAATTATGAAATCAAATTTGTTATTCCTCAAAAATGTTCCCTCAAGATCTCTAGATGAATGTTTCGATCTCAACACTTTTTCGTATCGTACGAAGCCTAGCACCTGAAGCTGTGGTACTCTGAGATTCTGCTTTCTGCCAAAATTCCGTATGAATGAATTTTTTTTTGGTAGGGGTTGGGGAATGACAAAATGAACAGGAATACAGGAATGGCGGTGTTGTCACGCAACATGCAATAGTAGAGGGTTTTTTTAATTTCTTTATTTCAGGCCAAGCGCGGGGAGGCCGTGAAAGGGACCCTGAGTCCTGTTTGGGACACTATGGTTGAAATACTTGTTGCTGACTTTACACAGGTTTGTTATAGAAAATAACCGTTATTATAGATATAGCATCGTAGATAATGAAGCATATCCCGGCCATCTGAGTTGGCGGAGATGGCTTATCTTTTCTCGTTCGGGATTGCCTGATATGTTCTCGCGAAAACGAAATGATCTGGCGCAATATTTTAACCATAAAATAAATCCGTTAACGACCTGATTTTTCAGTCAGACACGATGGCTGGACATTGGTGTCCTCTGTATTTTATGATAATTGACCTTGTTTAAATTTAAAAAAATAACTAAGCCAATTTTCATTAATTTTCCCTAGGCGAGGGCCATAAAATTAATTGTTGTAACGATCATATCCCACAGGTTTACCATAAGAGAGAAGCTAAAGCTAAAACTTTAAAATGCCATGCTAGCGAGACCTTACAAGGCCGAACCAGATGTACCCGGCTGCTAACTTTTAGCTCACTTTTCCCCTCTTCTATTAGCATGAAAGACCCAATATCGCTGTCATTGACGTCTTAATATGTGCTGTGTAGCATATCATACCATTGAACGCCATTTAAAGAGTATTTCCAGGGCTCTAATCTCCGTTCACTTGTGCATTACTACAGGCAAATTACAAACATATTTTAGAATAAGATTTCCGTGAGAAGATAACCTCAATGGGCCATTTCGTGTTTTATTATGATAATAATAGATGATAATAACAGTTCCATGTTCTTATACTAGACGACTTTATCGTTTGTTATCCTGGACAAAGACACAAATGCTATTAAAATGATCAAAGATGAAAGAGGTGACTTCATGGGATCGTGCAATCTTTCTCTCACTGAGGTGAGTATGAGGAAAATCTCGGACGAAATGGAAAACCGAAAAGAAAATCAATTTTTTAATTTAAATAGTAGTTCTGTTTCCATTCCTATCGATTCTATCGATTTTTTGAACAGACGCACGGCAACTTGGAATCTATTTGTTAATTTGATGCCGGGTTTTCATGAAATAAATGATATGAACAAGAAGTAGAACATTTGAAGAAGAACGAACTGAAACATCGATTATGAACGAGAGTTTACTTTGTTGAAAGACTTCAAGTTCGACGTAATATGTGGTGTCCACTATGATGGTGTGGCATAGGGATCGTATTCGAAACTTTATAAGTACATTTGCGTATTCATTAGCAGCCTCTGGATTGGCTCATTATTTCTCACGTCGTATCATCGTGTATTTTATCCACGACCACGTATAATAATAGTATGCAAGCATCCATTCGCTTTTCAGTTCGTCCGGTGATATCATATCACCTTTATGACTCTCTTCTCTTTTACAAAAAATGACAACTGTACAGTTTTCCCAACACTTGGGTCAGTAGTGTTCTTAGCTGAGAGGATCTCTTAATTTCATTTCTCCACCGCAGTGCAAATATATGAATTTTCATATACCTGAAATCATCATTTATCTTTTGGATGGTTTATTTGGACCCAACACATTGACCAGCTCCCAGTTGGCTTGTTAGCTCAATTGGTAACGCGCTGCACCGGTATCGCAGAGGTCATGGGTTCAAATCCCGTACGGGCCTGAATTTTTTTCAGGTCCTATTTTCAACTACTCGTTTCAATAGTGTTCTTAGCTGCGAGGATCTCTTAATTTCACTTGGCCTTTTGGATCGGTTTCAACTCATCGCGTAACGACACTCTGTACTTTTATGATTTTTTAAAATTATTTTTGAAGAACTGATTGAATGAAGCGATGAACACTGGGAGCCCTATCTTACTCTTTTTACTCTTTCGTTTCCAGGTATCACCTGTGCTATTTAAGAAAAACCTGGACTTACTGTATAAAGTTAAAGGCTCTGGAATGATGAAGGCGGGCAAGCTGTGTGTGTCCGCCATTTTTAGACCTGCTCCATCGGTGGCCAAGTCTGGTAAGTACACTTACCTACACAGCGGGGCTCTTTGTACCTTGCAGTCTAAAACCGTAAAATCCGAGTTTTATAAAATTGGCAAAAAACAATTAAATTATAGTAATAATAATAATAATAGTAATAATAATAAGAGTAATAGTAATCATCCTAAAAATAAACATAACTCGAATTGTTATGCCACATATACATGCATTTTCACTTGTACTTGCACAGGAAGCACTCTGATGGTCCGGGTCCAAGCCTTCCAGCTGCTAATCGCTGGATTTGTTCTCATTTTTCCTGAGTTCAACTCCTAGACTGTGCTTTGCTTAAAGCCAACTGATCTGCCTCCTGCCAGTTGGCAGCTCATTCATTCATTCCTTCATTTATTCACTGAATTATATTTACCCTGAAATGCCCCATGAGGGTAGAGGTCGATTAAGTACATTTACAGACTGGGCATCGTGGATGATATGCAGAAGCCAGACCGAATAAGCTGAATACGTGATATTTCATGCGTAGAAAAGTTAAATCTCAATTCAGATATTTCCCCGGATTTTTTACTCACGTCGGTTGAGTTTGCATCATTCAACATTTTGTTTCTTCTCTCGTTAGAAATGAAAGAAAATGGCCAAGGTCTACCAGAAGGAGAACCTCCTGGTCAAGTAAGTTTCTTTCCTGAACTGACTTTCCCTTTAAGTTTGGATGGTTTTACAATGAAAGAGAGTTGGATAAATTAAACTTTACTTCTTCCAAATATATAGAAGGATGCTAAGACTGAGATACAGACACTAGAGGCTTTGCTGCGTGCAGGTACGTCAAAGTGTTTCAAGGTGACATCTTAGCTGATGGATGTTGGTCTACAAAGAGAGCCACTAATGCTAAGTGGGACTATTGATATTGACTTGAAACGGTCTTCAAGGTTTATTCATATACATAAATTTATTTGCAGAACGAGGAAGCGTCGAAATCAACATTTACCAGGGACGTAATCTGGTAGTTAAAGATATTACTGGTAAGATAAAATTCACGGAGACCTTCAAAATACTATATTTTCTGCAAATGACATCGAAGAATTCTTGGAGAAACCAGCCTTTTAAGTATTTATACCACAATTCAGAATGAGAATTGAAAGGCTTAGGATTGACGGAACCTTGAACAGAATAAAATACAAAGACGATTGATTTTACCTCGTGGCAATTGACAAAGGATAATGCCAAGACAACTGTTTTGTAGATTTCCATAACTTTGCTTCTTGCTGAATTGAGTGACCAGTGAACAGCACATTGAAGGTCTTACAAAGTGACTGGAAGTAATTACCCTACTCTGTAAACAAAGGGAATAATTTAAGATGCCACCCGAACACGAAGTTAGCAAAAAGCAAGAGTAGGTGGTAATGAAAAGTAGGGGCGACCAACGCGAGTAGACTATGTGATGCAACATTTTGTAACTTGGAAGAGTGATTGGAAGCGTGGAAAAATGCAAAAATATTCCATGTCCCTAGAAAAGCTTCTCAGCTTCTCTGTCTACAGGTAAAAGTGATCCGTTTGTGACAGTAAAGGATGGAAGTGAAGGAAGAGAGAAATATAGATCACGGACCATCACCAACACGTTGGAACCCGTTTGGAGTGAGACAGCTGTTGTAGCGATGCCCGATGTGAATGGACTCCTGTTACTGGTGAGAAAGATTTGGCTTGAACTCGATTCAGCCGTTTTTTATTTTTTATTTTTTATTCAATTTCGATTTTTCATTGATTTAGAACTAGTGAAGTCCTCTGCAGACATGGGCATCAAACTTATTTCGTTGTTTTATTTTCACATTGATGCACATATAACTAAAATGAGAATGCAACTCAAGTTCAACGTTTGCCTTTTCCTTTGCTTCTCTCATTAAAAAGTAGATCAAAATATGTTTATAAACGTGGGCAATATTTTTCAAGGAGACAAGAGAAGCCTTCAAGTAATAACCCAGGAAAAATAAAAGAACCCTAAATAAATAAATAGTGTGTACTCAGGTACACACTATTCCGCTATAGGTTTATATCAATTAGATATACTAAGTTTGTGCTTGGGCAAATCAACCTGGATGAAAAAATATCAACTCACCAAGAAAAATCACATCATTCGCCAACATTTATCTCTTCTTTTTCAGGAAGTGTGGGATAAAGATCCATTGTCACAAGAGAGAATGGGACAGATAGGATTTACAACTGAGAAACTGAAAGATTTAGGAAAGGTGACTACATAGGCTGACTTGAACTTTCTCCTTATTTGCAGGTTATTGTTTCTTAAAATTTTTTTCAGAATATTAATGCAATATTCTTAAAAATTACCGGTAGAGAATAAAATGCATGGAAAGGAAATTTTCAAAACTGATCGATCCCCATTTCATTCCTTTAGTAAAAAGGAGAAATTTGATAAGTGGCGGAATCGTGATTTTGACTGAGCGTTTCCTGTCTTTTCAGTAACATGGTTCAGTTTGGTATCCCTGTACGGGAGCTTTGAATGCTCGAAACTGAAATGATAATAAACTGGAGAACACAAATCAGCCACCAGCATTCAGAGGGAATGACCTTTCGCTTTCCAGTTACACTGTTAGATTACAATTCAGTCTCTCTATTCGAATATACTTGTAGAGTAAATGAGAGCTCTCTGAGAACACTTAACATTTAATTATGTCATTTGATAGCCTCCCTATGAGAAGCGCTGGTACAGGCTGCGCGGGGTGAAAAGTGGAGAGCTACAACTGGCGTTCAAATACACTCCTCCGCAAGTAAGAAAGATCATGTTATGGAAATACAAAATGTAACATAATACCAAGTGTAGGCATAATCACTCATGCAATTTTCTAAAGTCGATGAAATGCAAATTATGTTTGATCTTTCCGGACATTGGGGGAACAATGGCGTCATCAGGCTTTTGTTTTTTCTATTTTCGAAAAATTGGAATTGGATAAAGCTTCGAAACAGAAAAATGTACTTTAGAGATCTATCGTTCATGAAATACCGATATTTGCCTATGATCACGGTATTCTTCTTTTTCTCCTAAAGTTTGAAAAAAAATCGAATTACTTACGTTAGAGCGGAGAGAGATTTAGAGCCACAGAACAGGAAAACTAAATTTATTAATTTTTTTGCTACCTTTCTTGTTCAACAGTAGGACGATAATTTTTAATTTTTTGGGGGGTGGGTTTATGGTTTGCGTTTCTTTCTATTTTGTCTCTGATTTATCTGGGAGTAGTATAAAGGAAGGTAAATCAAAGGTATGTTTTCCGTTTGCGTTATCAGTAAGCTTAGTTCTACATCGATCTAATAATGTTTTCTTCCTCTACTGAGAAAGCTACTTCTTGCTTCCAAGACTGAATCAATATTTGAATCTAAGAATAGACTCACAATTTATATACTCGTCAACGAAATAAAGAAGAGTGATGAAAATACGTTAATGTAATGTAAAAGTACTAACAAATCTATTTAACAACACAACAGGCAGATGATGACACCTCCAATACTAACATAGGCAGTAGTGAGCCCCGACAGCACAGAGGTTTGTTTCTCCACTAAATCCATTTAAAAATCACTTGCATAATATATTCGGAGGATAATTAATTCTAGAAATCTCAATTGTCATGTGCCAGTCGAAAATAGCCCTCTTCCCGCTTCGTCAAGATACGGAATCACCAAGTTGTCAAACTTCATAGTTCGCAGTCATTCAGTAACGAAGCTCTCGTTAAGAACATCTGGCAATAGCTTTATTTCTTCCTGTTTCATCTCACAGAGAAAAATTTGCTTTCTTCGCCAGGTCCGTTTTTACTGAGTGCCAACGGCACTTTGTCGACTCCAGTGAGAGTGCTTCATTCTTCACCTAACGAGGAAAAGGAACCACTCATTGGTAGAGGCCCGACATCCATTAGCGGTACCACTCAATCAATGGGAAGAGACAAAGGAGGTAACGATGAATTCCCAGAGGTTTTCACACAAAATACACCAGTTAATTTGCAAACAGGGCAGGATCGAGAAGAATACGAACTCAAAGCCTGGCCCAGGAAAACGCGACGCCTTCGATCAGTTGTTGACACCGTTAGATCTCTTCGGTTTAACACAGCTCCCAGTGTCTCAGCGGCTTCTTCTAGCACGGTGAACACCTCGGGGCCAGAAGAGGGCATTGGACAGAAGGTAGAAGGTAAAGACAAATCCAAGAGCTCTTCAGGCGCTCAAAAAGGCAATTCTATCCGCAAGAAGTTCTCTTTTCTGAAGGGCCGACAGCGCAGCATCAGCGAGAGTCATCTGAGTGTGCTTTACTCATCACATGACGATATAGACCCGTTACTAAAGCGAAAAAGTGAAAACGAATCGGACGGAGGCAAAAATCGCTTCAAGAAACGTCTCCGGCGAAGCAGTGAGAATATTACTGGGTCTACCACGCTAAGTCGTCAAAGGAGTGTCGAGAAAAACTTCCATTCTCTGCCAAATAGCCCTGTCACGGTTACTTCACGAAGAGATCTGTCTGAACAGTTGACTGACCATAGAGACTCACGAAGCACTGCGTCTATCAGCTTAAACTCGCGTGATTCGAGTACAAATCAAGAAAGTTGTCCAATGTGTGACTATAACGTTTTAATTCTTAGTGAATGTCCCGATTGCCAGAATTCGCAGAAGAAAAAAATCAATTCTTCATTCCCAGAAAGACTGATTCTTTAGAAAACATATTTGTGTTCTAAACAACCTGCAGAAATGATTAACACATTTTTAATATGTTAAAGCAGCTTTTACTGAAAGTGCAAAAACCATGAACGTATTATTTAAGAACTTTTCGATAATTACTTGTAAAATGTTAATTAAATGTGATATATTTGCTGTATTCAGCTTAACAAACTCCTGAAGCGATTAGTCTTGTGACGCTTTGAAGAACAAGGTATAAATAAATTTTTGCAAGACAGAAATGTTCAGGCGACTAATAAAACTCCAGCATCACCAATTAAAGACTATTAAATTGCTATAAAAGATCTATTTGGTCATCATAATTGTCACTGATTATTTACCAACAAATCGTTTTTCGTTTTAAATTAATCAAAGCCAACAAATTCTGGCTCGTGATTAGAAATCTACAGTCCGAATTCAGTACTAATTGGACCATGCACACATCATGCCTATGAAATGAAATAGTAGTATGTGTCACTGATCAAGTATGCGGCTTTATAATATCGACCAACAACTTAATTTTTTCCGCGTCAAAAAATATATTGTCTAATCCCAGTGTGATGAAACTGTTAAGCCATTGAATTGGGCCTGCAAAGATACGTCTATTCTCAAACAGGAGAATAAACATAAGTGTTGGGAAAATTCTGTATCGTTGTTTGTTCAGTTTTGAAATAAGCTAAAATGAAGTGCGCAAGACTACATGCAAATGACATCATGAGTAAAAGACCATACAGTAAAAATATACTTAGCATTAAAGCCATCCATTGACATATTAGAGGAATTCTTTCCGCTGCTTCTTTTCTTAATTCGAAATGTCATCATTTGTGAAAAAAAAAAATCATTTTCTCTCGAGATACTCTTATGCTTCCATTTTGAAAAACGAATCACATTGTCTGTCTTGGTTTCCAAAAGTACGTCCAACCTTTCTCTGTTCTTCCTTTAGTCTTGTAGCGTCAGTTTGCTTCCCTCGCTTTTCCACGCGCTTCCGCAATCACCTCCCAGCATCCTCAGCTTTTTCCTGCTGGCCAAAATACGTTCGTGCTTCCCTCAATGATAATTGCGTTTTTGTCTTTGAATCTTCTCTTTCCGTTCTTTGCTGTCCATGTTGAGATTACAAAGAATAATAAAAAAATTGTTTTTGTTTGCCTACACGTGCTGAATACTTTTGTAACTTGTGATAACATTGAAGGCAGTTAGGCATTTTTCTGTAAACTCTCGATGCCCTAATTAATTCTTGGCGTCGTTCCGTTTCGTCACTACATGCCTTGAATACTTTGGGGGATAGCTCGATATTATTCACCTGTCCGTCTTGGCACTTTCATTTTTCACTCTTTTCTGTCCATATTGATATCGCAAAGGTTAGGAAGTGCTTTGCCAAGTCAAGTTGATTTTCTCTGGAAGGCAGGTACGAATTTGATTACGCCGCAATATTTTCCCGGAAAATGTTTTGTTTTGGTTTTAATTAGTTCTTTCTGTCTCCGAAGACGAGTCAAGTGTGCGTCGCTATATGCGCTTAGTGCTTTACAATTTGCTCATGCACAAAAACTCGCATGTGTCCGGGATTTGATTTGCAAGGTACCAATCTCTTGCGACTGCTCCGAATTCTTAGAAGGAGTTTTTTTCCCATCCCATGGAGTTTAAAAATACTAAATTCCTCCTTTTATTCTCTTTTCTCCGCCGATTTGTGAAAACGCGCGAGTATTTGTTATTTAGAGATTGTGTATACCAGAAGAGTGAGAGTATCGAAAAAAAGCAAGATGTATCATTTTCTCAACATTTGTAATTGAACGGTAAATGGTTAAAATCGAAAGCTATCTGGAGATTTAAAATATCTGATGGAAGGTTATATATTTCTTATAGTTCCCATATTGTTGTGATAATGATGTGAGTTATGATAAAGCCTACTATTTGTAAAGTTATTTACTAGTAACTCAGCAGTTTGATCTCCACATCTTTTTCGTCATCCTCTTGTAGCCGTAAGAGAACGTTTTGAACGAGCTTTGGTTGTTCGATACCTTCGCTGATGAGACATATGCCACAAACCTCTGACAATAAAATGCAATACGCAACACGGTCTACAATTTTTTTATTTGTCATTCGCGGTAAACCGTGAAAAAGCAAACCAGCAGAAAAAAATTAGTTATCTGCATGTCTACGTCGGTCCTTTCAGGATTTAACTCGGCCGTCGAGGAATCGAGGCGAGTTGTAGCTAGTTCAAGACGGTGCTCAAACCAGCATCCAGAAAAAACACAGCATACAGAAAGAGGCGACACAAAAAGTATGCGTTCTTCCAGCGTGAACCGCAAAAGAGCTATTATAGTAAGGAAGAGCTCTGCAGAAGATAAGACTATATCAACTCGAGAGATATTAACTATGGCGCCCCTCGGAACAAGATGTTACTTGCTTCGGAATACACAAGTCAGCTTAGATCAGAGTTGTACTTTCTATAACGAACAGTTACTTGGGCTGTCGTTGAATATCTTTACCATCCCCAGTTCTCTCGATCTGAATTACAGAATGTAATGTGATCAGATGATTTGTCACAGGATACTCACAATCTGCCAATAATTATCTTCATGCTTTCACATGCAACGTTGATCTCAAGTTTAATCCTGTGATAATTGTAAACATATGCTGATACTCGCACATCATGCGCGCATGTCATACGCACAAAATAATTTTCCCACGTGACCGATCAAAGATTCAAAATTATATGAAGTGTTCTGAAGTGTGTTGGTTAATTCTGGTTCAGGGTTTTTTTTAAGGTTACCATCGCTCAACGGTTGTGATAGTGTTAGACGTTAGAATTCACACTGAGTTTCCTGATAGTTAACTATCTGGTTTGACTAGTTGTATGTTTATTAAAATGAACATTTCTATCTCTATTGAACTACAAATTGTTGAGAATCCTATTACACCAAACTGACGCAAGTCCTTTAACAATCGATCGATGTTCTAACTATTTAAGACTTACTATGATCGATAATCATATCTCTGGTGGATCGTGATCGTTTAAGCACGAATCCAGAGATAAATAGAGGGCTCAGGCATCCAATTTTACAGACATATTCGTCCTTACATTTTAACAGAGGTTTTACTATATGAATGATATGAACATATGATGAGGTTGTTATTTGCCATCAAAGTCCTTTGAGAAGCGTTTGATTTGATCTCAGTCATTCTTGTGAATGTCAGATAAGCCAAGAGTACCGTCTAGTTTGGTTTTTAAACATACCATGCGTACACATCAACACAGGTTTTGCCCTTGTTACCGTCATTTTCCGAGCAGTCTTTCCAATCCTGTCCATACCATATCCGCATCTCTTGACCGCGTGACACAGAGAATGGATTTGAAAGGTTGCGAAAAGTGAGCTGTGGTGAATTAAGGCTGGCGCCATCAAGACTGTAAAAGTGTTTTTTGATACCACATTGGTGAGAATTACCGGGCTTTAATCTTTCGATGTCCTCAACGGGAGGCAGAATGGCGTTATTGCTGTCATCTGTGACGATTGTCATTAACTTATCTTTATAATAAAACGAATTTGTGCAGCCCCAATAAGATGCGCCAGTTGAAGGATTGCAGTGCACCGACCCTGACTTGTGAATAAGCTTCATTGTCTTCACTCGTCCACTCTTTGTTATGTTGAAGGCACCATAGTCGTTATCTTTGGCTCCAAAGCAGACAGGCTTTTCGCCATTAATTTTTTGCCAGCCATCTAAAATGGGATATATGGAAGTAACTGCTCTGTTACTTTTATTAATTTTTGTATAATTGTTCAATTTCACCAATTCGATTACAAGCAGCCTCAACTCAAACAGGTGATCTCTTCTTTTATGACTGGATTTCAAATGTATTTTGATTATTACCCTTTTTCTTGAGAACACTGCAGTGTCTAATTGACAATTGCAAGAGTTCGACTCGTCACAGAGGACTCAGACTTTGACATTGCATATCCTCGGAATATGCTTGGCCGTTTGTCACATAGGAACGCAAAGAATGGCCCAGGGTCTTACCCAGTCCCCTGACCCGCCCTCCTATGAGTCCTCCGCAAGGAAGTTGCTAAAGAGCAAAAGTAAAAGAGGAAGAACTTCGGATTCTAATGTCATGAGGGATTCAACGTTTTCTTTATCTCTCGCCCGTGACAGATCTTCAACTTCTTGCTTTATTCTTTCTTGCAATAACTAAATTTGAAAAGGAAGCTTATTGCTACCAATTGAGTAGAAGAGGACGTTTCTGGAAATTTTTACATGAATTTAAAAATCATGATCAAGAAGGCAGTGGGATTAAACTAATTTTACCTTCACAGTAGGCCTCGATGACCCCACTATTCCCATCAGAGTATATCCAGTATTTCGTCTTAACCACCTCATTTCCTTCGCTGGCTGTGATCTCATAGCACGATTCTGCTGGAAGCTCTCTAATGGTTCCGAGAGGAACTGTGTCAAGAAAAAGACAAAATATGATTACTATCATAACCACGTATTCTGAACGTTGCCGCTTATGAATTAAGAGAACAGTTATGAGTATCAATTTCACATTCAGCGTTAAAAAAATCCACTTTGACTTTTTCCTACTACCCAGGCCACTGAAATGCTGAAATTTGAATCTATTTTCTTTGCTAAATGGACAACCTCTCCTTATTTATAAAGCCTGAAATGATAAGGGAAACAGAAATAATACTGAAGATACGAAACGATAACGACAAAGGTGAGAGTAACAAATACCTTGACGTTATCACTAACGATGACTGGGGCGCCACTGGGATTTTTTAAAGGGGAGGATACACAGTTACTAATTTCCACATGACTTATGCTAAGTGGCTTATACCACTGACTCGTAGTCATGAGGCGAGAAGGACCAACAAATGGGGCACCTAGCATTAGGACCTAGACTCTTGGGATTTGCGCGTTTTCTCAAACTAAATTATGAGATTTGCCTGCGATTAACGTCAAAACAAGCAAACAAACAACAAACTATCCCACAAAGGTCAGTCACAGGCACCTTAGGACCTCCCTCCGTCCACTTACTTTAGGAGTCTTCTTCCCTCCCACTTTAAGATCCCTTCCTCTCCCCACACCCCACCCAGCTACACCCTGTATATTATTATTACTAATAAAAAAGATTTAAAAAAGCCCACCGTTCTGAGACTCGCATATGAAATCGCATCAGTCATTGTAGAATGGAGGATCTCGTAAAGAATATTTAAAAAGTTTAATCTCAAAATGTACCTCTATGAGTGACGCGCCCTACGTAAAATCTCTTCCAGTCTGGCACAAAGTCTTCAGGTCTTGCTTCCTTGGTGCGCTTGTTCAATTCGCAAAGGTTTTGGCCGCGGACGTAGTTGTAGCTTTGACAAATGAGTTCTTCTAAGCACTTGAAGTAGCAGTCCTCAGGGAGTCCTACCCGATATGTTTTAATCGTGTGACCTCTCAGGAACATTCCACCAATGGAGTATTCCGCCAAATGACATTGGCCAATAGCGTCAAGTATACCAATCCGGGATGTGAGAAACATAACTGTCAGCCAGAACTTTGAATTCATTTTTGACTGTATGGGGATCTTTAATGCCGTCAAAAGAAAGAACTACCCGGTAAAAAAATGGAAATTATTGTATTATCAATATAAATTTGTTATCACACGTTTATTACCACACAAATTACCGAGATATTGTGTTAAAGAGGAAATTTCCACACGAGCGCGACAGCCCGGTAACCGCAACGAAAATTAAAAACCTTCTCCATATTCGCTGTATCAGGGATGAAATTTTCCTCAAAAATAGCCTAAGGCTTAGCCACGTCGAATTAAATATCAATTTTTTTTTCGCTGAATTATTTTGACTCGCCTGACGGACCTCGGACCTCTAACTATTATATGCCTGCGTAATTTTTAGGGCGACAACATCAAATTAAAGTAGGTGTCGAAATTTTAATTAAAATGGATTCATGGAAGAAGCAAGGCAAATATCAAACCTCAGATGCGATTCAAAAAATTTGTTGATGTGAAGAGGAGCTTTCCAAACTGATTTTGATACGATTATTGGTTCACCAAAATAAAGCTTAAGATTTAACCTTCATCCCAAAAACCCTTCAACGCAAGTGGTTTGCACGGTTATGGCTAAATCAAGGTTAATTGTTTTTCAAGACAAAGCTGAGTGGATGGTATCCAATGCTGGAGAATGGCGCAGATAAAAGGGGTAACATGACTGCAGCCTGAATTTTTTTTCGTTTCACCTTACATTTGCTGCAACTGAAATAAACCCATCGAAATCTTTGCTGTTATAAATAAAGTTGTTCAATTCCGAAAACAGTTTCCGGTACGTAACTTACGGCCGAACTTTGATAAAGCTAGATTTCTCTTAGTTCTAGATGATACTTATCTAATCAGGAGAATTTTGAACAATTCTTTGAAGACATATTTTTTCCATCACGTTACGGATAGTTAGGTCAGTTACTTTAGCATGCGGTGTCTTATAATGGAACGCTTCTTGTGAGCAAGACAGACAGCTACTAGAGTGGAAAATAAAAAAAAATAAAAAATGCTTACCGTCCTTGTTAACAGCAGAAAGCGAAACAATACAGTCCTGTTTTTACTTTCCTTTGCAACTTCGCAATACATAATTGACGAATATCACGTACCAGTGTAAATCTTACAAAAATAGATTGTCAAGGCAACATAATACTGACAAATTTTCATTTTTATAAATGATTTATTTTATTTATTTTTAAGAGGCGCTGGAAGGAACAGTCTCTGACGAGCAGCAGGTGTTTCCTTAACAGAGTGATTTAGTATTATCAACTGAATTCGCTCTGACAAAGGGTTAACGCTCGAAACGTCAGCTTTGAACTCTTTACGGTGGCCAATTTACGTTATCAACTCAGTTGATACTACTAAATTACCCTGCTAAACTCTCCCACCGAAGCCGCACCACGGCTTCTTTAAAAACTTACTCGCTTTGCTCACTTATCATATTGGCCAATCTCAGGGAAAATTTTAATTAGCGGCAATCTTTTAATTTCTGTCCAATGTTTATTTTGAATATGAGAGTTAATATACAAACGGCTGAGAAGAAAAATACTGATCGCATTTCATACACTCACATATTTTACCCTCACAACCACGCAGTTAACTCTATCGTTCTTGAAAACTTTAAATTACTTCAAAACGATTCTGAGACTGGTACTATCTTTTCGCTACCTCCTCTAATTTCACTCAAACGTGACAAAAACATAGGCAACTTTTTGGTCACAGATTCATTTCAAACTAATGACTAACCCAGAACTTTGAAATGCGCTCGCTCACGATGCAAAGCTTGTCCTTTCATTCATAACGTACAGAAAATATAGGGAACTTAAAGATCCATTAAGATCACCGATCAATTCGCGTGCACCCTTGCCAATGTCATCTACTGCATAAGTTGCACTTATTGCAAAACGTTATACATTGGCGGAACAAGAAGACGATTAGGTGACCGATTCCGAGAACACCTTCACGACGTAGAAAGAAATGACAAGGACGCACCCAAACCGGTTGCTAGACACTTTAATCTCCCTAATCATTCTAAGCAGCATATGGCAGTTTTACGACCTTTCCTTACATCTAGGCATTTCGGAAAGCCGCAAAACTTTAGATCAAAAATTCATCTTTCATATCGGCACTCTTAATCCGCATGGTATCAACCGAGCACTTGTCACTCAACTAATTTTTTCATGTTTTCTCATCGCCATATTCCCACCGATAGCATGGCTCCATTTTCTGCATATAAACCAACACACAACCCACAATTCCTCTAATCTCTGACGAAAGGGCTAACGCTCAAAACGTCAGCTTTTAAACTCTTTACGGTGGCCAATTTATGTTATCAACTCAATTGATAATATTAAATTCATCCACGAATTCTAGTGGATTTTAGCCGCCAGGTTTCAAACCTGTCAAGCTTTTATATTTCCCATTCCATCGCAATTGAGATGGAACTTTTGGAGCTCCAAATGAAAAGTAATAGTACTTAATGATACTCGTTTAGTAAAAAAATGAGGCTAACTCTTTCAAGCAACGGTATTAGTTTTTTAGATAACGATGCATGCTTCATTCCCAAGTGCTTCTACTTCTACTTTATTATTATAGATAAAGCGTATCAACGAGTCACATCAATACAAATACAACAAAATAATAAATAAATGCTAAATAAACACTAATAATAAACATATATATGTGATCAGAGAAATTTTTTAAAACCACTTCCCAGTTTCGATAAGATGGTCGCGCAGTGCGGCCTTAAATTTTAAATTATCATCTATATTTACAATGTCGACTGGAAGTCTTTTCCATCGGTTGACTGACTACGGATAAAAGCTGTATGCATATTGATTGCAATTTGAATGTGATCTTATGAAGGTTTTTGAGTTACCACTCCTTAAAGTGCGAGGTAAAGGAGTAAGAAACGAATCTCTTTCGATATCAACAGTGCAATAAAAAATCCGATGAAACATCAATAATCGAGAGAGAATTCGTCTTCCTTCGAGAGATGGTCACTCCAATTTATTTAGCATATCTGTTACTACTCCTGGTTCCTAGGAATAATTACTGAACCAAAGCCTAGCAGCTGAACGTTGGATCATATCAAGACGATGTATGTCTTCTTGTGAATATGGATACCAGGCACAATTTGCATATTTAATCTTAGGCCTAACTAAACTATTACAAAACTTGGATTTGCAGTCTACAGAGACATTTCTAAAGTTCCTCCTAATGATACCAAGAGTTTGTTTGGCACTTGATGTCATATGTGCAATATGCTCTGACCATTTAGGGTCTTCAGAAAGTATCACACTTAAGTAGGAATGGTGGTGGACTTTAGTTAGAACATGATTATCAAGAACATGTGCTGTACCTAAATTAGATTTGTTAGAGGAGAAGCAGTTGGTATGGCATTTATCAACATTGAATGACATTTGCCAATCTTTTTCCCATTTAGTTAAGGCATCTAAATCTTTCTGTCTGTTTTGGCAGTCAACTGGACTATTTATACTATGATATAGGGAAAAGTCATCTGCAAACAATCTCATTGTTGATGAAATATGTAAGGGCAAGTCATTGATGTAAATCAGAAACAGTAATGGCCCTAAACCGTGCCTTGAGAGACTCCTGATGTCACAAAACAATGATTTGATAAAACGCCCTCAAAGGTTATCCTCTGTGTTCTCTTATTAAGAAACATTTGGATCCAGGACAATAAGCTGTCCTGAATTTCATGATGACTTAGCTTATAGAGCAGCCTCTGATGAGGTACTCCATCAAAAGCTTTAGAGAAATCAAATATAAAGGCATCAACCTGTTCCTTGGAGTTCCTTGCGCTAACTAGGTCATGTATTGCCTTTATAAGTTGGGTTTCACAAATCCTTTGCTTGTGGAAACCATGTTGAAAGTTACTAAGCACATCAAGATCTTCCAGGTGCTTTCAATTTCTCACAGGCAGTAGAGTATTGACTGTCTATTGCAATAGTATTGCTTCCCCAGCACATGTCTCCTCCAAGGTTAGAATCAGCACCAAGAAGCATTAAGGAGTTCCCTGACTTCTTCTGTAATTTGGAGAAGGAGGAGTCAAGTCCATTAAATGCCTCAAGTAAGCTATTAGGATTGCAAAAGGCACCAACGTATACATGTTTCTTATTCGCGAGTGATGTCTTAGCCCAGATTAGCTCACTATAAGAGGAAAGGTCGCCAAGTTCTTGACATGTCAGATCTTTGACTGCAGCTAAAACCCCTCCATACCCATCTGGTCTATCCTTTTGGAGTTGTTGGAATGTGAGAATTAAGCCAGGTCTCTGTTCCCATAATAACATCTGGGTTTTCATTTTCCAAAAAAGCCTGAAGTTTACTGTGTTTGTTCCTAATGCTCTGAAAATTGATGTTATAAATACGCAAATTCTGGTGATGTTGAGGTCTCTTGACAGTACGAGAAGTGGTTGCAAGCCTATTCATGGGCGTATATTGCTTTATCGGTGAAGTCAGGTTCGATAGCATTCCAAAGGAATTTGATGCCTCTAATGAAGAAATAGGTGTTTCCAACAATACAATGCACTCCGCGTTGATTAGATTTGATTGGTTTAAAACACAAGCCACATGGTTATTTCCGATTGGGTCCTGGGTTAGTGCTAACGTCGCCACAAAGTAAAAAAGAAGGCTACATAGGTACCCATATTTTGAGTTGGGAGAATTTAAGATGGCCTCTACTTAGCCTGCAAAATGTTCTATTAAACCCTAAAGCCAAGAGCTGACTTTTCTAGGAGTTCATCGTCGTAGATGAATGTGCCAGTTAAATAAACCAATTCACTGTTAATGTAAAGAGCCAAAATTAAGAGAAATAGCGGAGCTTGGAATGAACCAGCCATCCTACCTGACAGACACGTGACTGGTGCTTTTATGTTTTGTTTACGCTAATTATCGAGCCCAGTCAAACGTGAAATCTTTCCTGAAGCTAACCGTGAGGAAACTGGATTCTAACCGCCTTGAACCAGAATATTGAAGAGAACACCCTGATGCCTGGCCTAGCA